ATTATAATTTAAAATTCTCGTTTCCGATAATGCCCTAACATAGTGTCACTTAGATTTAAGAACTCTTCAATAAGTCAAGTTAGTTTTTTTGTTCCTTCCAGCGTCGCAACCCCACTAATGGTAGGGGAGCCCACGATGCTAAATGGGGATTTACTCGAGCGTCGTAGAGACCTATTGGGATACAAAGCTTAGATAAAAAGAAGAAAAAAATGTTATATGATAAATTCCTTTTCATCGGTGGGGGAAGCGGCTATAGATAGTTAAATATGTAAAAAAAACTGTTGCATGGACATCCTCGAGCGCGTCAGATATTGATAGCATCTATGCCCTACGTATTTTTAATAATGTACGTATGTTAATCTGATCGTTTGCATGATGCGGGTGGTTGTATTTAAGGGTTGAAAATTAAAAAAAAAAAAAATTTATCGAGCGCGTCAGATTTTCTAAGGGAGTGTTAAGTGCACCAAAAAAATCTCTCATTCACTAATCTGACGATTTCGATGGGACGCAAACCCACAGCCATTTTCTTAATTTGCAAAAAAAATCGCAATTTTGAAATACTCAAGCGCGTCAGATTAAGATATATGTGGTTCATCTTTATGTTCTAAACGTACTGTCTCATAATCTGACGATTATCTAGAGGGATTCGCCTGATCTGACAAAAAAAAAATAGAAAAACGGTTCACCTAAAGGGCCATCCCTGCAACTTCCCGCTAATTCCATTCCTGGGCGCTTAAAATTGATATTTTGAGCTCGCTGAGTTCAAAGAAATAACATTTCTATGCATTTGAGCTCTCCCAGCTCGAAAGTCTGATAGAAGTTTCATAGAACACTATTTTTGGAATTTTCAAACCGCAATAACTTTTGAATGGATCAAGCAATTTTCACGCGGTTGGCGGCATTCGACGCAGTTTTATCATTCTCATAAGTAATTTTGACGGAAAAAATTGAAAAATGATCGAACCACAAATTTCGGAGTAATCCCGAAAAAACACTTTTTCGGGTTTCTTTCATGTACGATATCTCTCGAACGAATCAACCGCTTTTGACCAGCTTGGTGGCGATCGACGTGGTTTTTCAAGCTCAAAGGCGGATTAGTTTTTGAAGTTGATCGATAAAGAAACCACTTAAAAAAAATATTTCTTATTTTTTAAGATTTTTCAAAATTTCTCAAAATCTATCGGTCCGAATCGGTTCAAATTCACAGGAAATGTAATTTTGAGGGAAATATTTTGAACGCCGTTTAGTAGATTCCGATCGGTTTAAGGAAATGTAGGCATCACGCAGCTGCACGCATTTAACTTTATCGACGAATTTTTGTTATTTCGGCTTGCGGAAATCGTCAGATTATATATTTTTCATTATTCTGGAATTATTTCCTTCAAAATAAAAGAAAAATTAGCTACGCTCGAGAATGTCGAGATGACGTTTTTTTTTACAACTTTGTTGCCCTCCCCTTTTTTCCGTCACTCTCAAATTGTCAGATTAGTGGAATATACACTTTTTAGGATGTAATTAACTCACCCTACCTTAATCTGACGCGCTCGGGAATTTCTGATGGTCAATTTTTTTTTACTAATCTGATCCTGTCTCCTTCACGCGCGGCCTTATATATGGGCCTCATATTTTGTGGAGGTACTTAACCGGGTACAAGGTATCCCCCTATATAGTAATCTGCCGCGCTTTAGTAAATCCCGAAATCCCCTCTTGGGCTCCCCTACCATAATGTTATCTTAGTTATAAGCTCATTTTTTAAACAATAATTAAAGTCAGTTGTTACCCAGCTTCAAACAGTGTTTCATTTAACATATACACACCACACCTCACCACATCTCCTCTCTCATCATAAACTCCGCGTACGCTATAAACTATTACCATTATAGTATTGTAAGTACTACAGTACCTATTATGGAACACATTTTCAAATTCAAAATCATTTATTCATTTAGGTAACACAATGTACACTTATGAACGTCAAAAGCGTTGACAACAAGAACTGGCAATAAACTCTCCGCTATTTTTAATCGCCAAGTTTTTTGTTTTACACAATGTTTATAAGGAGCTGCAACCATTACACCATGTTCCACATGACATCTTAAGTAATTAATAGAAAATTAATTTAAAAAAAACAAGGATTCGTCCTCTATCAGCAGTAGGCATGGTGAAATAGGAGCACGCACTTACATTCTCGTGGGCACAACACGCAAATACATAGTCGAATACAGGTCAAAATATGTCCACGAAAAAAATGAATTTAAAAGTAAAGTAAAGTCTATAGAACATAATAATAAATGCGGGAGGAACCGCAGAGCACAGCTAGTATATGCTGTCCAGTCTGGAGTCTGGTCTCCAGACGCTAAGGGTTATTCGAAGACGAGACTTGTCACTCCCGTATGTGAAAAACCTATTGGATTTTGACAGAGTATCACCACACCACACCACAAACATTAATCAGTGAATTAGCATTTACTAAGTAGATGTACCCGGAAGTGATTCGGGTCGCGAACTTGACCCACTTACTTATTATAAAACATTCCTCTCGCCTCGTCTGACTAACAACGATAATATCGATGGTTATTTTGATCTCTGATACTGGCCACGTTCATTAATTTTTACTTTTTAGGTCACAGACTATAGAAATATGTAGTCTGTGAAATGTCTAAGCTGCAAGGTAAAAGCCGTAGAAGAAATGAGTTTTTAGTGCAATTTGATATATTCGTCCTATATATTATCGAATATATTATAACTACATATATTTATATATTATAAATTATAATATATATTTTGTCTCTGTATTCACCTCTTAGGAAGCAAACGTGTACAATGTACATACTAAGACGGTTATAGGTAAAAAATTGTCTTTCGACATTTTGTTGTTGAAAGTTTAGAAAAACTTTTGTGACTGGCAGAGGCCAGAAATTTCAGTCAGTTCAAGTTACAGTCTTTCCATTCTTGGAGAGCACCTCGAGGCCCTACTCGCTGGACCGATCAAGTAAAGTCCCTTACAGGTCGTACCATCACCCAGGCGCAGAGGCTTGATCGAAGACGGGGGAGAGTAGAGAATGTTGTGCGGTGCCACGAACACGACCTTCAGAAATGAAAGGAAAAGCGAGAAGTTTCGCGTCTGTCGCGACTTGACATATATGAGTTATATATGTGATATATCACATACAGTAGAACCTCGTTAAATCGAACCTCGATAAGTCAAAAACCTCTAAATCTCGAAAAAATGTTTTGTTCCCTTCCCTTAAAACACCAAAACCTCCATTACTTGAAATCTTGACCCTCTGTTAATCGAAATAATCACCGAGTCCCTCCAAGCCATTTTGGTACATATTTTCACTCTATAACTCGAAAAATTAAATTTGACCTCTGTATCTCGAACATAGGAACGTTTTGTGCGTGCGATGATGGAGTTATGACTGCTGGGACATTATCTGATGACGAAATTATCGATTCAGTAGCAGTAGTAGACGTGAATAGTACATGCGCTCCATGGGTTTCCATCAAAGAGGCGCGAACCGCATTGAATACCTTACGTAATTTTATAGAGCAAACCAGTACCTAACTCTGAAGAAGAAGAATTTTCTGCTAAACAACCAAATTATCTAAAGCAAAAAAAAATTACTGACTTTTATTAATGCCATATTTTTTATTTTAAAATGATTTGAAATAATGTTGATTTATAATAAATAAAAATATGTTTGTCACCTCTGCAAGTTGAATTTTTATTTATTTTACCTCTCTAACTCAAAATTTATAAGAATAAACCTCAAACTCTTTATGTCGAATCAAAATCCGCCTAAGTCGAAATCCTCCATAAGTTGAAAACTCTATAACTCGAATTTTTTGGCGTCTCCCTTGATGTTCGACTTATAGAGGTTCTACTGTATATAACTCTCTTATCCATGTATATCTAATTTTAGCTATATTTGTTTTGCTGATGGTACGTACGGATTGGAATTAACCAGAAAAACATTATATGTTTTTATATGGAAAACTTGGCTCCATGGGCATAAACGAAAGCATGATATGTGATACATTGAATATAATTTGTTACATATTTTACCAAAAACATATTTATATTAATGAAAATTATAAAATAAATATTTTCTTTTTTTATTCAAATGCGTTGAGAGACGGTATAACTGTTGTATTTGAACTTAAGGTTAAACTAAATCTGATGTTTAGCTATTTATTCTTATTTAAAATTAATTAAAGTTATTACTTTAATATTTAATATTTAAAATATCCAATAGAAGTAAAACATGCGCCCTTGTTAAAAGTCAAATTATATTTTGACGGCATGAGATCATAGACCAAACATTGCCTAATCTAGACATAGACTGACGTGGTAATCTCCCGGAATATTTACAAACGCGAATTTATGTATAAATATACATAATCATCAGACATTAGTGGTTTTACTTTGATTACTACTACAAAGAATGTTTTGGTGGCCGTCAATACACAATTTTTGACAAGAAATACATACCTCTTCTTTATATTCTTGACACAAATGAAAGGCACACACTTGTCAGTGGTAGACCATTAATGGCGGGACTCGGACTATGCTCCGCTGTTATCACGGCCCTAGAGCGAATGTTGGTGGAGCTGAGGGGTTCTACTGATGCACAGATCAGTCGGAGGCATGCGTAATTTCCTCACTTAAAAAAAGAGGAAACAATGGGAAAGGTTCGCTTCTCGACTCTACAAAAAATCGTTCATTTTCCTAAAGTTTATTTTATCATTTTCCGGTTAATTATGCAAAAACGAGAAGAACCTAATCGAATCCCTTTTTTGGCAAAAAGTTTGCTTTTGGCAAAAAATTGTCTATATTATATTAATATTCATACTTATTAATGTTTAGTATACCTATAATATAGTAGTCATCGGAGCTCTTTAATTAGATTTTAAGGAAATGTATTTGTTTAGAACAATGCTAGGGGCATGTTAAGAAGGTAAAGAGAAAAACTAATAATGTTGTACTTTTATTTCAGTACCTACAACGACGCGTGCGCAGCTTGCAGGCGAATACCTCGAAGCTTGCAGGAGTCATAACACACCTCCCATCGATTCTGTACTGCAACAAATACGGGTAAGTAGAATATATGTAGTAAAATAAAAAGGCCGGCAACGCACTCGCGAGCCCTCTGGCATTGGGAGTGTCCATGGGCGGCGGTATCACTTAACATCAGGTGAGCCTCCTGTCCGTTTGCCCCCTGTTCTATAAAAAAAAATTACTTAAAAATATTAACTCTGATTAAAACTGTTTTATAATATTACACATATTGTGTATTCGATAAAATCAAAATAGCAAATTTTTATGTTCCTTTCTGGCGGTAGTTTTGATTTGCGTTCCCTTAACAATATAATCCTTAAAGACAAAATCAAATCATTTATTTTAATTAGACCACCTAAAATGCCACTTTTAAACGTCAAATAACATATGAAGATGATTCTAGTTACCCCTTCCAAAAGGTTTCGTGTGGAGAAGAATGGGCAAGAAACTCCACACTTACTCTTTTAAAATAGGTTTTTTTATAATATTTTGTGTACATTAGTTAAATAATTATATGTGAAGACAATGTAATCCTAGAATGAAACTACTATACTAAAATACCTTGAAACTCCTACTCATAAAACTGACTTCTATTACTCCTTTACTGTGCAAAGTATGCTGCTTTACAACTCCTTACTTCTTGACATCAGAGGCTTAGTCTTTAAATTTATTTAAGAATCTTCTTTTATGAGCATTTCTCTTCTGCCTCATAATTGGCTACATGTGTATATTAATTATGACTCATTAACCCTAAGAATAGCTTTTATATTTTTATTAATATTATTATTATAATATTTGGAGTTTACTTTAGTTTTAGTTAGTGTTTCTGGTGTTACATGTAATTTTATGATTTTTCGCTATTGATGCACTTGTACTTTACCCGCAGTTGGCATTTTTAAATTTTTCCATACTAGGGTTGCCTGGAAGAAACCGCTTGTTAGCGATAAGGCCGCCCGTTACGAGTATAATTTATTTATCTAGGTAACTTAATGTACTCTTAAGAACGTCAGTAAAAAAATGATTCTAAATTTCTATTTAACTGCCAGTCTTGAGAACTGGGCGTAGAGACAAGAACTGCCAGTACTCCGTCACTCTTTTAAATTGCCAAGGTTTTGACATGACTACAAGGTTGATACCAAATGTTTGTAAGCATCTGCAATTGAATCATGCTTCTCATCACATGTTGAAGCAATTAATTATTGTAATGATATAATAAATAATTAATGAATAAGTAAGAAAACGAAACGTTTCACCTCTATCAGCAAGGTGCGGTGAAATAGGATCATGCACTTACATTACTGTGGGAACAACACGCAAACACAAAGTATTAAGGTGAATCAAGACAGAAAATAATAATTACATAGCCTTATAAATACCGATAAAATTCCGAGTCACCACGTCTAACACCTCCATATTGCAGTGATGCCGACCTTATCCTTAGGACTTTCCCTCCCTCCAATATCGATTGAAATGCCTTAAAAATACATTTAAGTTGTATAAAATTTCGATCTTGGAGTTTTATAGCTTTTTGGTATTCGAGTTTATATTTTAAGCAGTGTTGGCCTAGTGGTTTCAGGGTCTCTCTTTCCTGAGGTCGTATGTTCGAAACGAGCTGTGCACCAATGGACTTTCTTTCTATGTGGGCATTTAACGTTCGCTCGAACGGTGAAGAAAAACATCGTGAGGAAACCGGCTTGCCTCAGACCAAAAAAGTTAACGGCATGTGTCAGGTACAGGAGGCTGATCACCTACTTGCCTATTAGATTGACAAATGGTCATGGTACAGAAATCTGAGACCCAGACCTAAAAAGGTCTGTAAAAGTCACTGAATTTTTTTTGGAGTTTATATTTGGCTTAGTTGGTTGGTTGGGTTTTAGGCTTGATGTAAATTGTATAGAAACGTAAGTTTTTTATGAAAAAAGAATCCCACGATATCTTGATTCTCCCTAAATTTGGCGGGTATTCCCGCCGTGAGTTGATATCTCTGCTATATTAGGGAGACTTGACATCTTAAAAAAGCTAAACTACTACATCTACTGGCACTAAAAAATTGCTTTCCAAGCTCCCTTGGAAGTCCACAAGAGTCGAGAAGAAAAGCATACGCAAGGTAGTTTTTGCTACATCCTCCCTCGCGATTAGGCCCGTTCGGGGCATGTGCCCCGTTCGGGTGGTGTATTTGTTAAAGCCCTGCTAATACAGGGTGGTACGGGTCGGGCTGTATAGCCATTGGTGGGGCGAAGCAAAGCTCAGAATTAGATTGCTTAAGGATAGTTTAAGTCTTAAATTCAATGAAACAATATCGCGTTTTAAAAGCAACAACCGCCATCTAGTGCTCGATATAAAATTAACTAATTAAAGAAGAAATCCATTAAACAGGCACAAAAGGTCGTTCACCTACTTGTGGCCAAGACACATGTAGAGATCTACACAGCACAGCACAGTTGTTACAATAATAAATATTTAATTTCAGGAACTATCAGAAAACACGATTGGTGGTTGTATTCGAGCGGCTCGTCTCACGCTGGCAGAATGCTCCTTGCTCGGTCCGTCACCGGTGGATGCGCTTGAGTCGCTGTTAAGCAAAGTTCAATTTAGAAGAATCGAAATTGACCATGTGGAGATCGATGATGAGGGGGCGGTATGTTTTGCTTTATTTGGCCTGGCTTCGTTTTTTCTAAATATTCTGGAAATAGTACAGCCTTATGTTACTTAGAAATAATATCTATAATACTAGCTGACCCGGCAAACTTTTTTGCCATCTATATTATTTCGAGGAAACAATTTTAGTTCAATAAAAATAACTATCTTCTATAAAAAAATTAGACGTTGATCGTAGAGGGGTGAAAATTAAGGGTATCATAAAAAAATAAAACAAAAAAATGTATCTAAAAAAATTTGAGGTGATCCACCTCTTAATATTTAGGGGTTTGCAAGATAGATAGTAGCCAATTCTCAGACTTACTGAATATGCATAAAAAATTTCATAAGAATCGGTCGAGCCGTTTCGGAGGAGTATGGGAACGAGCATTGTGACACGAGAATTTTATATATTAGATTAAATTAGTGTTAGCGGACTAACGCCATCTTGTAGCAGAAACCTATATAAAGCATGGCAACACCGGCGTTGACTCACTTTTTTTTCTAGACTTCGTGCGAACGGGCTTGTTACTAACCTAACCTCGGTAGATTTTAAAAGTCTAAAGTACCTACACGTTCTAATCTTTTGTGTTTCCTAATATCAGAAGTGGGATTTGAACTTTTCGCTCACTTCTCTTTTGTTTTGTTTTGAGTAATCTTTGTGGTTTAAATTTTCCTTCTCTTTGTGTCCGTAATGTACGAAGTCACGAGTGATTAACATTTTAAAAGTGCTCTTTGTGTAAAAGTGTTGTTTGTGTTTGTCATGAGAGTGCAACAGTGTCGCATTAAATTCGGGATCGTCTAGTCGGCAAGGTAGACGAGAGATGCTTTGACAGAGGACGGCCGAACGGTTGAAGAACAGTCAAATCAATCAGGACACTGTCGTTAATGTGGGTCGTAGACCCCCTCTTGTAAATTCCAGAAGGATGATCTGGTCTTTGTTATTAAGAACATGCAAAGGTATGGGTTTCTGTTTTAAATTTTTGTGGTGCTAATGTGTTTAGACCACTTTGAGAACATACAAGTGTATGGGTCTCTGTTTTAAGTTTTTCTGGTGCTAATGTGTTTAGACCACTTAGAGAACATGCAAAATGTATGAGTCTCTGTTTTCAAAAATTGTCGCTTATGAGAGCACTAGGAGCCTGTCGATACGACGGTGTATTGCAAATATACTGAGTTTTATCTTTATTTGTGTTAAGTCTGAAGCTATCTAATTCTGTAATATTTGCTTTTTGAAAGATCAATGGACAGGGTAACCAGCCCCAAACTCACGATCTTCCTGTATAAATGGTAAAAAGATCAATGGACAGGGTAACCAGTCCCAAACTCACGATCTTCCTGTATAAATTGTAAAAAGATCAATGGACAGGGTAACCAGCCCCAAACTCACGATCTTCCTGTATAAATGGTAACAAGATCAATGGACAGGGTAACCAGCCCCAAACTCACGATCTTCCTGTATTAATGGTAAAAAGATCAATGGACAGGGTAACTAGCCCCAAACTCATGTTCTTCCTGTATGAATGGTAAAAAGATCAATGGACAGGGTAACCAGCCCCAAAGTCACGATCTTCCTTTATGAATGGTAAAAAGATCAATGGACAGGGTAACCAGCCCCAAACTCACGATCTTCTTGAGAAATAAGTACACCTTTATACCTTATGGTGACACTAAACTTGTAATTGTTTACACAAGTCCTTTACACATGAAAGTGATAGTTTGTTTCAAATCTTGTAAGGGTTATAAATAATCTTTCACTCATTCCTTGGAGTCTGATACTTTAAAGTTCCTTTCTATCTTTCATTACTTTGATTGTTTGTATTAAACCAAGTAAATATGTTCAGCTGCTGACCAAATAGACGACGCAATACCTTCCCAGAACTGTAATTTTCTAACGTTCTATTCTACTCACAGACATGACAGTATAGACGCTGGGACATCAAATCCTGACGAGGACGTCAGGGTGTCAGGAGAGGCCGTGTTAGCGGACTAACGCCATCTTGTAGCAGAAACCTATATAAAGCATGGCAACACCGGCGTTGACTCACTTTTTTTTCTAGACTTCGTGCGAACGGGCTTGTTACTAACCTAACCTCGGTAGATTTTAAAAGTCTAAAGTACCTACACGTTCTAATCTTTTGTGTTTCCTAATATTAGTATATTATTTAGAGAACTAGAAATGACACGTTGAGATGACTTAATCTGGTATATTCTAACTTCCAAGTTTTATCAAAACAGATTGAGTTGTTTATGAAATAACGGTAATAATAATAATTTATTTGCAAGAATATGGTACATAAATGTTATAGACATAGACATAACATTTATTACAAACAAAAAACACACACATAAACACACAAAATAACAATACTTAAAAAAAACATAAAATAAAATAGAATAAAATTAAAAATTAAAATTAAAAAATTCCCTTTTGCCATTCGGTTCGCTTCCAGTGTGCAATGTGTGTGTACTGTGGTTGTAATTGGCCCTGGCTCAGCATTATGCTGAGGAGCAAAAAGTTCCACAGCGCTGGTCATTCTGCCAGAGACCATAGCAGCTAGTTATGGTGGTACAATCTAAGGTGCGCATATTCTGCCACACATAATGACGTAAAAGTAATTTTACATAGAAGTTACAATTACATTATTTTAACTTCTACAAACAATTTTATATTATTTTATCACTCAACATCACATTATTAAAATATATTATTACGTTATCAAATTAATATTAATTAGAACGTTTCACGCAAATAAAAAAAGGGTGCGTGTACTTATGTACGCGCGTAAGAAGTTATACTTCTTTGGCATTATTAAAAATAGTTTTTGATTGCATGAAAATAATTAATTACAATTAAATAATCAAAGACTGGAAAAGGATTCGTTATAGTCAATAAAGTTCAGTTTACATTTGAAAAATTAAATAAATAAATATTTAAAGAAAAAACTGTTTGACCGGATTGAAGTTATGTATTATTATAGTCACCGTGACCACGCACGCTGTAAAGCACGCGAAACGTCGGTTAAATTTAAAATTATGTTAAATAGTTGTAAATTTATAATAATACATAACTTCAATCCGGTCAAACAGTTTTTTCTTTAAATGTGTAAAGGTTATGTAAATCAAAGACAATACTAAATAAATATTTATTATTCTCTTACATTAAGTGTAACATAAATTCTATTATTATTCGAATGTTGTTTTTAAATTATGTCCAATGCCGTAGCATCTTCCGTGGGCAACTTCATTCTGTTTATTTTGTGTCACGGTGCGCGCGCATCGTAAAATTTCACTCTCATCAATTTTTCATAACACGCCTAAAGTATAACTTCAATATTTTCTTCCCAAAAGTACTGTATCCACACACTTTAAGGAAATTTAATCAATTTACAGAATTTGTCAAATAATATAATATAATAACCTTAGTAATATTTATCTAATTTCAGGAAGCGATATTCGACATGATAGAATACTATGAGAGTGCCACAGCTGTGTGTATCAGTGGGCCACGGCAGTTCGGTATTCGTGGATGGCAAGCCGCTTCTAGAATGATTAAAAAGGTATTTGTTTTATTTGATTTTACAGGAGAGAAGTCTTCTGAAAGGAGCTAGGCTGGCTTAGTTAGCCAGGACTTTCTGAACAACGGATCAAATGAGTCTAAGTGCAGACACTTAGTACATACAAACATTTATTTGTCACAAATGTATTGGGCTGTGACGGTAGTTACACAATTCGCTATAGTCACAATATCGTCTTGAGCGCGGCCAAATTTAAGAAATGTATTAAAGAAAAGCTGTGTAAAAAGGCTTATTATGGGGTCATGCTGCTGACGTCGAAACTATTTTCATCCTGCAGAAGAGGGCTATTCGTGCAATCTATAATTTAAAATGTAGGGAATCTCTTAGACATAAATTCAAGTAAATTAATATACTTACCTTTCCCTCGCATTATATTTATGAAAATATTTTGTACGTATACAAAAGAAGTGATAAATTTACGAGAATAGAACATACGCACAATGTTACACGAAACAAACGCAGGCTGCAATTTCCCTGTACTAGACTATCAAAAGTTAGTAATTCGTTTTTGGGAAAAGGGATACTCTTCTTTAATAAAATCCCAGAGGCTCTTTTATCTCTGCCTTTTTAATAAATTTAAGAAATGTATTAAAGAAAAGCTGTGTAAAAAGGCTTACTATAAAGTTAAAAACTATTATCTAGTTGATAAAAGGGCCTGAGACTAGTGCTAGACAGGCTACTTCTAATTAATTTGCGATATTTGTTTTAAAATAAGTGTTTAAAGAAAAAACTTTTTAACCGGATTAAAGTTATGTATTATTATAAATTTACAATTATTTAACATAATTTTAAATTTATCCGACGTTTCGCGTGCTTTACAGCGTGCGTGGTCACCGTGACCAATATATAATAATACATAACTTTAATCCGATTAAAAGTTTTTTCTTTAAATGTGTAAAGGTTATGTCAATAAAAGACAATACATAAAATAAGTGTTGTTTGATGATTTGCTATTTTAAAAGAGTACCGTGAGCTTTTTACGCCGGCTTTTTCTCTCGGCCTACACCCTCAGTCTTCTTTGCCGATGAGTAGGGATGCCTACAAAATCAAATTTAATGACGTGGAATAAGTGATACATGTATCTTATGTTCCATAATAAACATATTTTAATATATCGTCATACAGAACTGACAGCTCTATTTTATTAATAAGTAATCTCACAGCTACACACATTATAAAAGATAACACTTGGACGAAATACAAAGCCAAAACAGATTACATTGTTAAACAAAAGAATCAAAACAGAAAGCAAAAGTCAATTATGTACATTAGAAGAAGAATACATTAAATAAAAAGCTAATTAATAAGACGTTATAGATGCTATACATTATGCTGTAAGCAGAAGTGGCATTGGGCTTTAAAGATAACATGGGAAACACCAAGGGGAAGGAGAATTGGGCGCCCTAAATAAGGTAGATAGAAGATATACGTAGCGAATTGAGAAAGATAGCCGTGTATATATTTGGAAAAAGCTGGAGGCCGTTGAAGGGGGTTTAAGGTACGATTCCAGCAATGAGCTGAACTGTGCGACACAGTGATGCACAGCGCACGGCACAAATGTTTGTTTTGGTCGACTCACTCAAGCGAACAATAACAAAATGTGCGCGAATATTTCAGCAAAGTTTTGCGCATCGACACGAGTCTACTACTTGTACCGTTTGGCGCACACGAGTGCACAGTTGTGCGCGAGCTTTGCTGAAATATTCGCGCAGTTCAGCACACTGATGGAATCGTACCTTTAGAATAACAAGGAAAAAATTATGTATATATAACCAATCTAAACCGTATATTCAACATTCGTAAAGATTTACGGCCTTTATTATAGAGTTGTTGCGGGGAGTTTTGCAGTTTTTCATTTTTTCAGAGCGCAGAACTAACGGAACTAGAAATATCCGAGAGTCCATTAGAAGCAGCGCACGCGCCGGTCTTAGCTCGATCGTTGAAGCCGCTCGCCTGTCGTGTTAGATCGCTGTGCTTACAACAGGCGAGCTTGGCTGGGGAATCGCTTTTGTGCTTGGGTAAGTTTTTTTTAGAGATAAGCTACAATCTATCTAATCTAAAATACATGACAAGTACGGTAAACGTAACTTTTCCAAAAAAATAAAAATATTACTCTTCCTGCTACAAATTTTAGTTATTACTAGAATTATGTTCGGTGGCAGTTGTTGGATGGATGTTCAAATTAATTTAAATTTAAATGATCCTAATCCTTGGGATTGATTTGCTCAAGTTCCAATAATTTTATGACTCAAAACTTAGCGGTTAAAAAGAGTGGCGGAAAGTTTCTTGCCAGTTCTTACCCGCTCTACGCCCTTGACTTGCGAACTGGTAGTAAATGTAAATTTGGAATTAATTTAACTTCTTTTCTGACGTTAATAAGTGTACTTGTTTACCTATATGAATAAAGTTATTTTGAGGTTGATGAGCCTCTTGCCCGTTTGCCCTCTGTTCTATAAAAAAAATACCTCTTACACATAAAGTTATTATATTACATACAAATATCTCCAAAATAGCTTATCTCCATTTTCATTATTATTTTCAGTAATCGCCTTAAAATCAAACAACTCAGTACGTGAGCTGCGGCTCGGAGACAACGGCTTGACACAATATGATGCGGTTCAGTTGGGTTCCTTATTGCGGTATAACACGAGGCTGCAATTGCTGGATCTTTCCAATAATCAGATACAGGTATGAAGAAGACTGATTTTTTGACTGTTATTGACTTCTATTATACTAGCAGACTCGGCCAAGCGTTGCTGTGGCTATGTTTTTGTTATATTACATAGTAGGAAACTATTGAAGGGTAACGGTAGGAGAACACCAGTCATGGGGCCCACCATGCTTTTTTGGTGGTTATGCCGTTAAATTGTAGCTTATGTGAAACGTTGGTACTTTCAACACAGCGCCATCTGTTAGAATTGTGACTATCAAATAATAAGCAAATAATATTGCGGATATAAATTAAAATATAAGCTATCCTATCTTTTAAATTTTATTGATATCGGTTCGGTTGTTTAGGAGGCCATAGCGGACAAACAACGTGACACGTATTTTATATATATTAAGATTAAGTCATATCACATGGAAATTTACGAATTATAAGAATAAAATTATATAATTAATGTTTTAGTTTTGATTATAGGTATAAAGGTTTCGATCACATATATATACAGTGTATATATATATATAGGTGATCGATATGTATATTATACACATGTTTTGTCAATAATATGTGGAAAATCAGTTATCTTATTGTCTGACTCGGTATGAGATTTATTTATTATATTTAATATTTAGTGATTGTATACTACATGTTAGTAAAAAAATAAATGAGTGAAATCTCTGTGTAAGGGCGTTCAAGTATTACGTAACGAAATTTAAGGGGGGGGGGGTCCTTTTGTAAACCGTTACGATGCGGGGCGGGGATTGAATTACGCGTTATTGTTAATATTATTTTCGACTTTCCAGTACTTTACACCACATAATGGTAACTTTTTCGTATAAAGAGTCACTGGGTGGTCATGAAATGTTTTACTATGGGGTACAGAAAAACATTACCGCGCGTTACATGGGGGCGCGTCAATAATCTCCAAAAATTGCTTGACGTATTTATTTATTTACACTTCGTTACCATAATATACAAAATCATACATATAAAAAACAAATAAATGCAGGCAGCATTTCTTCCAGGCAACGTTATACTTGAACGATCCCTAATCCGATTTTTACACATCCACAAAAAAAACATTTATTAGATCTGAGCCTCAAATGTCTGATCTGTTTCATGAGCTTTTATTCTAATAGGCAAGTAGGTGCTCAGCCTTATGTGCCTGACACGTCGGCTTTTTGGGTCTAAGGCATGCCGATTTCCTTATGAAGATCCTTCTCCGAACGAGCGAGTTAAATATTCACATAGAATCTATATATAACTATCTCTTGGTGCACAACCGGGGATGGAACCTAAGACCTTGCTAACTTAACATTCCTAGAACTAAAATGTTAATATTAAAAAAAAGTCGCAGCACATTGGTTGACGATTTTGGCCAATCACAAACGATCTATCTTTCCTTATTCAAAGATTCATTTGTCTTCAGGACGCAGGTGTGTGTGACATAGCAAATGCTTTAGTAGAGCAGTCTGCGCATACGCCGCCATCAGCACCAACATCCCCACTATCGCCGCATCACTGTCCACGTGAGTTTAACCATAGATTATTATGAGTACAGCCCTGCGATTCTGTAACTCACTTTTCGAACTCACACAGCGGTTTTCGCATCGGCGGTCGCTTTAAAATCAGTCGTGAAGCAGTCATTTTGTGATTTGGCATTCTGATAAGCAATAAACTACAAGCTCCCACCTTTTCAGCGAAAAGTGAGTTACAGAATCGCAGGGCAGCTACAAAACTTGCTTGCAAACTTTAATTTAGTTAAAAAGAAATCAGTGGACAACCTTTTTAGGTCTGGGCCTCAGATTTCTGTGTCATCTGTGCCTGACACACACCGTCGATTTTTGGGTTCGTTTGAACAAATGTTAAACGCGAAAAAAAGAAAGTCAGCAGCCGGGGATCGAACCTACGACCTCAAGGAAGAGAGTCGCACGCTGAAGCCAACACTGCTCTTGATTTAGGATTAGAATAAGGCCTTATTTATTTATAAATAATATTCTCGTGTGACAATGTTAGTTACCATACTCCTCCGAAACGGCTTTACCGTTTTTCATCAAATTTTATATGCATATTCAGTAAGTCTGAGAATCGCCTACTATCTATCTTTCAAACCCCTAAGTGATATGGGGTGTCCACCCCAAAAAAATGTTTTTTAATCTTTAAAAAAAAAATTGTTTTTATTTTTTTATGATACAAAATACAAAAATAAATACAACTCTTAATTTTCACCCCTTTACAATCAACCCCTATTTTTTATTATTGTAGATGGTTTTTATTGAACTAAAATAATATTTCCTATATTATTACATGGCAAAACAAATGTTTGCCGGGTCAGCTAGTATATTTATAAATTACATAGCAAGGAACAAAAATATAGAAAAATCAGAACCTAAAATTAAATCTATTAAACTAATAAAATGAAACCAAAACCAAACCTATAAAGTTCTCTTTTATCTCTTTCTCTTAAATTGTGTTTACGCTGTGATGTTTCAATTTAAACCGTGCAATACTGATTTATTTATATGTTAGTTGACTAGTGCTTAAGTTTGTCTGATCTAATAAGAAGTGTTAAGATTTAAAATGGCATTATATTAATATTTATTCTAGAGAAATAATTGTATATTTGTATTGTCTTTTATTGACATAACTTTGACACATTTAATAATAAAACTATTTTTACCGGATTGAAGTTATGTATTTACATCCACCTTTTAGTCGATACCAACTCCGGGGAAATAAATACAGATAATACAACTTTTTCTACAGCTGTGATACTTTTTGACATTCAACACCTTTTGTCTTCAGTCACCGTGACCACGCACGCTGTAAAGCACGCGAAACGTCGGATAAATTTAAAATTATGTAAAATAATTTATAATAATACATAACTTCAATCCGGTAAAAATTGTTTTATTATTAATTGTATATTATCTAAATTTACAAATATATGTAATATTGCAAGATTGCGGCAATAGATGGCGTTAATAATAATATTGTGAGGGATTTTTTAACACTAATTTCGATTATTTCAGTGAGTGGATATGAATACCGGGGTCTGGCTTTTCTCGTACTATGGAACAATCAGCTGACAAGGAACTGTGCCCAGCATTTAGCAAGAGTTCTGGTAAATATAATTCAATTTAATTATTTATTATTAAAAATCACCACATTATATGTACAGTATATGTTACAAGCTATATTTTCAAAAATGTATTACAATTATGGTAAATGTTACAATTAAAAATACAATAAATATATTATATTTTCCATTTTAGATTTTACTAGCAAAAGAATAAACAGATTAGGTATCAGATAGGGACTTAATGCTTTTTTTTTTAAATGAAACTGCTTTAGCGCATGAGTGTAAGATGTGCAGCGTTTTTGTCCAAGAAAAGGGAGAGAGCTATTGAGACCGATTGAGAGAGAGTGAGAAAGGGCGAACGGAGCATGTAGGAAATAGCCATAGGAGCGAGAGTAGGGAGCAAGCAAGTGAGAAAGATCGAGAGAGAGAGAGTGAGATAGAGCGAGAGCGTTTTAAGTGTTTTTAGATTTGTATAAATATAAACAAGACTTAAAAATATGTTTGCTAAAGAAGTTTCACTTCTGACATGTGTACTTTGCGCGACGCTTTTTTTTTTAAATAGATCATCCCACTACCGAATGTATCAAGCTCTGAATAAGTAGTGTTTATTCTGTTATATTCGCGAAGAGATCATGCCTATCTAAAATTTGTCTGGCCCTAGATCTAAATAGTAGAAGAACTGGCCATTTGTCTGGAAGTTAGTCATTCTCTTTTCTTTTGTATGGTGTTATTAAATAAATATAGTATATTAGTCCGGTCAAATAAGGTCAAAAAATAAGAGCGAAGCTACCATAATAACCATCAAGCTGAAACTGAGTAAACTTGTTCAAAACACAATTAAAAACAACTTTTCAAAATTTCCTATCGTTACCACCCATGGAAATAAATTTACTAAGGTCAAAATTACTTCAGAAAAAAATTGTAGATCATAAAATTATCTATAAAAAAAGGTATCAATAATTTTTTTCCTAAAAGCTACTGCTTCTGAGATAAGACGATTAAAAAAGTTGTAAAGCGTCATTTTATCTAATTTTACGATAAAACTTGCCGTTTTGAAGAAAATCGCGAAAACCTATTTTTTTTACCTTTGGTTTTGAGTAAATGGTAAAAAAAGGTCGTAACGATGGGGAATTTTGAAAAGTTATTTTTATTGTGTTTTGAACAATTTTACTCAGTTTCAGTTGGATGGTAATTATGGTAGCTTCCAATGTGTAGATTGACCGGACTATATACTAACTTTTCATTATATACTTCTTAAGATAACATATTTATAAACTATCATAAATACGCGTATATCTGTTTATAGAATATATATAATCCGTTGAAGAAATTTTATTTAGGGTATGTTCCGATATACACTGCGAGTACTGTATAGTGCTCCCACTGTTCAAAAATTCGTTCCGCTATGGACTGCCAGTATACAGCCGCAGCATCTTAGGGAAATATATGACGTCACAAATCCCCGCTATACTTCTACTGCGAGCACTGGCGTTTTCGAGGTAAGGTACTCGCAGTGCTTTGATCACGTGATCAATCAAAACCACTTGAATGCCTAACGGCTGATATAACTTACAGTTTAATAACAAACATTTAAAATTCTAACTTACTTTCTTTGTAGTATTAATTCAATTGTCAGTTAATATTAATATAGATTTTTTTAATGCGATAATACTCCAATAATAGTTTTTCTTGTTGAATTGAAAAACTTTGATGCACTCATTTGAAAATTGTGTCGAAAAACGAAGCTGACTAGTATACTGGACTGCGTTCCGTTTTAAATTGTAACCAGTATAGCTGGCTATAGAGAAACGGTTTCACAGTATACTAAATTGACGGTACTCTGTACAGTGGTCGCAGTGTATATCGGAACATACCCTTTGATCCTTGTCAAGCGTTAAGGTAGTGTTTTAATTATTCTTTCTTTTCAGAACACGTCAAAATCTCTTTGTGTCTTAAATGTGGGCCGCAATGCCCTCGGTTCCGAGGGGGTCAAAACCCTAACTATGAGTGGTGGGGGGGGCGCTGGTGTCTTTAGGCCTTCAGGCAGCTAGACTAAGCCTAGATGCGGCTAAGTGCATAGCGGAGCTTATACAGAGTAATTCTAAATTACAGGTAAACAAATAGGAAACAATCAGTAGATTTATTAAATTCTACTAAAAATTATGATTATTTAAGAAAATACTAAATTAGCTACAAAATCAATTCAATTCAAATATTATAAATACCCTTGTACCATTATCTTCCAATAACAATAGCGATATTGATTCTTATCGTTTTTCAAATCAAATCATTATTTATATGAATCATATTATGTACAACCATGTATAATTATTTTATGAGATTCAGTTGTATTAATTCTAGATTAATTATATTTTCAGAGGCTAGATCTCCGAGACAATAGACTGGGCGTGGCCGGACTGCAAGCGATATGCAACGCTGTTAAAGATAACCAGACACTCACACAAATTGATTTGGACGATCCACCGGTAAAAAAAAACGTAAACTTATGTACACGCGTTAGAAGTTATACTTCATTGGCGTAATAATTTTCTTCGAGCACTTTAGAGGGACGTTTCCCTCTTCGAATTGCATTTTTCATGTCCATTTTAATGGTCACTTCTAATCGAAACGATGTAATATGTACTAATCATGATATTTTACAATATACACTATGTTTTTATCACATTGGAAAAACATAGTGGATTGGGTTTTCTCGTATAGAAATCATTATTTTGGTTTAAACAAACACGACTGAAAAATACTACGCCATGACAGACAATGCAACTTGTCGATAAAACAGAGCAAGCGCCAACTAGCGGCCAACAGACTGTTTTACCGACATTTTAACAGGTGTCGGTTTTTTGAGACGGTGTGCGCGCGCATCGTAAAAATTTACTGTCATCATTTTTCCCTAACGCGCCAAAAGAAGTATAATTTCAATAATTAATCTATATTATGAGAAAATAAATACATTTTATTACAGTGCTTATCTAAATTTCTTAACACAATTTTATAGCGATGATTGAGTATCATTATGAGTGAATTAATAATATGTATGTCGGAGAAATATCTTCACTATCGATATTGACATCGTCATTAGGGGGTTTAGTTGGCGTCATGTGGGTAAAGCACAAAAGACATGAATAATCGTACAGTATTTAATTTAGATTGATTCCTTCCAACACTTCTAATAGCACTTTAGCTTAAGTGTATTAGACCCAGCCTCTCAACACCCCAATGCTCCACTGAATACTCAATCAGAACTAATCTGCGTTCCCTGTACGCACTGTCAAAAATCAAGATGGCGTCTGCGTTGACATTTGCGCTGCTCTGATTGGTCGTAACCATATTCGTACTTTTATTCGTGTAGTAGTAGTTCTAAACTATGAAACAATTAAATAATAACAAAACAAAATAAGACAAATTATGATTACAAAAACTAATAAAAGAAATCTCTATGATTAACCAAAGGATCAATCAAAATCAACGGTCAATTGACTCGATCATAACATTTCCTGATAATTAATATATTATATATATTTATTTCAGGAAACCCCAAACCCAGCGGTGAACGTACAAACTTGTACTGAAGCAGCAACAATGATGCGTCTGACGAAAGAGATTCGCGCTATTTGTCAACGGAATGAACCAAGCGGAAAGCCAGTGCGCAAGATTAGTCTCACTTGTCATACTGCGCATGCGCATACTACAGCACTATTGGCTAAGGTAATTAATTTGGCTTACAAGAAACCTTTAAATAAAAAAATATCAATCAATATCAATTTCAATTTACATAATAATTAATAATTTTGGCAATATGAAGTAATTAAGGAAATTCTTAAAATTATAGATATATTTTCACTTCGCATATAATTAAATGTATAAATTAAGTAGTATTAAAATTTTCGAAAGACTTTGTTGCAACTATTAACGGGATTATCCAATATCAAAAATAGATGCGGTCCCGACGGACGAAAAAATAATCGGACGGCTCATACTCGGAATCGAACCCTGATCGTTTGGTTACGCGCCAAGAGCTCTACCAGTTAAGCTATCCGAGACTGGTACCTGAAAAACCAGCTGTTTAGTTGCAGTATAGAGAAATAACCTAGATACCGACTCCAGCGCCATCTGCCGGCCTGATTTGTGAATCTAAACTATCCAGGGCTCCATCCAAACGCATACAAAAAATTCATTTAAATCGGTCAGCCGTTTAAGAGGAGTTCAGTGACATACACATGTACAGTAATATATATAAAGATATAAATAAATGTGGTTTCCAGCCATCAACTATAGAAGAGCGTCGCGTGCGTCTACGTTCGCCTGCTCCCTCCCCAGCGCCATCTCCTTCCCCCTCCCCGTCACCCGCCGGAAGCCCTATACCCCCGGGACATGGAAACTCTAGGTTTTATGTGAGTATATATATATATATATATGTAAAGAAATAATTATATTTCTTAAATTAGATTATTCATTATCTATTTTGTTTTTATAAATGTTCACTAGTTTTGTTTGTCTATGTATGTGTCATTTTTAATTTGAATTTAAAGTGTTTGTTATGAGTACATTTTTAATAGATTATAAAAGAAATCGGATAAAAGTACAACTGAAATAGCAAACTCTAAATGTTGTTTCTTAAAAATAAATATTTTTGCAACACATTTGGGTTTAACTCCCTTATATATATCCCTAAATATTATTATTAAAGGAATTCTAGTCATTAAATCGGCTTAGATACAATCTCATTAATATCCTTATTTTTTGACGACATTTAAATTACTAAGGTTGACCAGGGAGATGTCAAATACTATTAATATCTATTTCCGTTGCTTTTCTCTGTGTTGTAACGTTTTCGATGTGTTTTTTTGTATTAATTGTATTTTTTTAACCCTAGTTTATAAGGAATTTAAAATTGGTACGGTGATGTAACCCTTAGTGGTTTTTTGGTATTTTGTATACTTTTAATTTATATAGTAAACATTAATAAAATGAAATAAAATAAAAGTTTAATAAGCATGGCGCAACACATACTTTAAACAAGATTTTTATATCACAAATGTTTTCGATAAAAAAAAAACAAGTTTAAAAAAAATTAATTCAGCCCTTACGAAAGCATTATATTTATTACTCGTTCATGTTACAATATAATATGTAAAAACATACATGTCAAAATCTCACTTACAAAAGTATTATTGTTTCAGGTGACCCGAGTCACACCAGAAAGAGATTCATCAACAGACAGTTCGAGCCCTTCAACACCAACCAAGTCATCTTATTGCCCCACCCCTTCTAGATTTAAAGTTGTACAGGTATTTATTATTTTAAAACTTCTGATATATGTACATATTAAAATAACAATTTTAAATAAACCTTTAGTTATTGTTTATGCAAGTGATATAAAATCAAAATATAATATATTTCATATTGTATGAACGAGCGTTTGTCGATATTAATTTCAGGTTTTTTTAATTAAAATAGTTCTTAGTTTAGTATGAAAATGTTAAAACTTACCATATAAGTTAAATAATCCAGGGCCGCTACAACAATACATTGCCTCAGATGGCATCAGTTTTTTTTTTAAGTAAGTGTAATGCCCGACTCATTTCGTTGATTTCTAGGAGGCATGCCACTTTCCTATTGATGCTTGCCTTTACCGTATGAGCACTATATAACACTGCCCGTAATTGACACGATATAATTTACTATACAGCATACAGTTATCGTATAGAACAAATGTTGTCATTAAACATTTTCTATTCAGGTCGCAGAACCACCGCAGATTCAAATCCACCCAGTGCAGCCGAGGCGACCATCTTCTCGGTTCTCAGTAACAAGGAACTACGATACTATGTATAACCCTTCTCCCGTTCCATCTCCTTCGCCGCCGCCCGCTACTGAAAGTGTACCTGCAAAAAGTGAAATTAAAGCTATCAATCCAGATACAGCTTTAAGATTTGATAAACTTGAAACTGTAAAAAAAGAAACTAAAACTAAAAGTGATCAAGATAGTGTTAAAACAGACATTGCAGCTGAAAAAATATCTGAAACTAGAGATATTGAATGGAAAACGGTGAAAGATGCAAAGGGTGATGAAACAGATGGTACATTCGATAAAAGAGGTTATAGTGATAAAGAGAACAAAATGTGTAGTGTAAGTTCTGATGAACATTGTGTAAAATCGAAAGAACAAGGTGCGGTAAGTGAATCTGTGATTGACAGAGTAAAAACGCCAATTTCAATGCAGCGTATAGCGGAGCCTAGCTATATAAAAGATAATATTAGTTCAGAAATTGTTATACAAACGGAGGACAAAGAAAAACAAAAATGTCATATCGATGACACAAAAAGTCTTTTAAAAGATAAATTTGCTCGGATTGAAACGATTGAGCCTAAAATTGAAGGAGGTGATAAAAAATGTAAGGAAATTATTAAAAAAGACTCTGAAAAAGAAGTAAAGGCTGATAACAAAACTGTTAAACGAATTGAGAGTGTTGTAACAGAAATCGTTTCTGAAATAGAACCTCTCCAATTTACTATTAAACAAGATTCTGTGATACATGGACCACAAATGGCTGAAGAAACTCAATCGCTTTGTTTATTGAGTTCTGGTGATAAAACTGAGACTGAGGCTCAAACCCCGGAAATAGTTAAGGTTGCCTTTACGAATATTATTGATAATGTGGCCTGGCCTCCGTTACGAACTAAAAGTGATAAACGCAATCAGGATAGTACAGACTTGAAAGTGACTACTCTAAGTGATAGTGTTAAAAAGGTTAAAATTAGTGATACAGTTAAGTTAGGTGATATACTCACCGATAGTTGTAAAGATAAGGTGGAAGAGTTGTCTCAAGAAACAGTTAGTGTAGATAAAACAATTAAAACAGAGACAAAACTTGTTAAAAACAGTGTAGAAGTAACCGAATCAGAAAAAGTTGACATAGATGTCACAGTTGTAGTAAAAAAAGAATCAAATACCGAGAAAACCAAAGTACATAGTGACCAAATTGTAAATATAGATAATAAGGTAAAGGGAGACATAGCCATTAAACAAATAGAAGCAATTACAGCTGATTTAGGTAGTTTAATACAAGAAATGCACGATCTAACCACAAAAACAAAGAAAAACGATTTAGTTATAGATAATGTTGTACCTGTTCGAGATAATGTAGTTTTAAAGAAGAATAAAAGTGAATCTAGTTTGGATAGTCCAGATTTAGAAGTGTCTAGACTTATGAGAAAGCAAGTTAGTGCCTTTTGTGACAGCAGCTCGTCCTTGGAGATTTCTGGCAGTTCAGTGGAAAGCTTAAATATTGATAGAATGAAGCCAGTGATAGTTGAAACAATAGAAGCTAAACGGGAACAATTCTCGAATGAGAGCAGTATGGAATCAACAAGTGAAGTTACCCCAGTCAACCTTAACGTATCAATAAGTTCTAACGAAAGCGTTTCGCCAATCATTTTTGGAACTTCCAAGAAAATTCATGATTCTCTGTCGAGTTTAGAGGCTAGTGTCAGTTCTATTGAATCGGCAAAAGAGAAAATGATGGTCACATCCGCCGATTCAGGCATAGAGCATTCTCTTAATCCCTCAGATGTAAGGGAAGACAATTCTTCTAATGAAGGAACCCTAACTAACAGTTCAAGCTTGAAAGATACTGATAAGAGTTCCCAAGAAACGTTGACATCGCCAAAACGGACATCAAGCTTGTTAGATGTTCCCGCTTTGAAGTCCAAAAGTTTAGAGAGAATGAGAAAGATATCATGGGTAGCGCCCTCTCCCAGCTTTCATATACCTAGACCAGAGCCAGAGAAAGTTGAAAATAAATTCCCAACTAATCTCGAGAAGCTATTAAGTCTATTTCAACATCCAAGCAGCTTGTTCTCACGCGCAACGTCAGAAGATGATAGAAAATCTACTTCAAGTACTCCACCTAGAAAAGACTCGTCATTAACCAGCTCATTCTGGTCTTGGGCCAGCTCATCTGACAAATCCGACAAGGATGACAAAGATGCTGACAGTCTCTCGGAAGCGACCGACTCTACTCTATCAGAAAGGGTTCAAGTATCATTCGTTGACGAATCTTTTTCTAAAAAGTTTGACAAAACGCCGTCAACAGATACAGAAAATACATTAAGCGAATTCCAATCGTTTCAAGCAGGAGACACTGTTACCGACACAACCACCGACGAAAATTTAGTACAAATCTTAGATGTAAGTAAAGACGCAGCGTCCATTGATATGCCTGCGTGCAAAACAGATCTCATTGTACCCAACGATTATGAAATTGATGAAAAATGTGAAAATACAGAAAAATTAGTTAAGTTAGAAGAAAAGATAGATGTAAGACCTAGAACTTTTGCATCAGTTCTCAAAGCGACCGGCTCCGAAAATTCTTTAGATAAACAAAGCCCCGAGGCGGGTCAGCCGGTTGATAAGTTTCCTACCAAAGTTATAAGAGGTATTAAAGAAAATGTCAGCCCGGAAAATACAATAACGTCAATGTCCACGAAAGCCCTAGTGTACGAACTATCTGAACGACAAGTAAAGAATTCACCAATAGTTAGTACAATATGGGAAATACAGACGCCACTTTCAGAGAAAAGTGAAGTTAAATTCGAAGATCATAAAGCTCCAAGTGATTTAGCACCGATCGCCAATATAGACGAAACATGCGATGTGGCCGCAGATGAAACTATTCAATTCGCATACATAGACGATGTCAAAGTTGATGAAGACAATAAATTTATTAAAGAACTAGGGTCCGTCGACGTCGCCAAAGATGCTCTGTCATACTTAGAAAGTAAAGATAAAATAAGAAAGCCGGAATCATCATTGGCGCAGGAGTTGAAGGATGCAGAGAGAAAGGAATTAGTAGACCTATCTCCCGAGTTAGTACTCGACGAAGGGGTTGAAAAACCTGATTATGCAATGGATGTAAAGGGCCGTAAAAGTGCACCTGTCATCCCAGAGCGGGCAAAGTTAAAGAAATCAAATTCGCTTGAAGATTTAACTAAGCGTCCCGAGAAAGAAAGCCCAAAATTGAAATCCATTGCCTTTAAAGTCCCAGAAAGTACGACACCGAGAGATATTCCCCAACGGCGCACAAAATTACGTAATAGAAGCGGTTCAAGTCCAAAATCCCTACCAGAGAGCTTGAACAAGCCCTGCCCCTTGGCTAAGATGGATTCTATATTGAGTAAAAAGAAGAAAAAGGTGTCGTCTTTAGGTAAAATGGCGCGTGACTCTCTTCTAGCTTTAAATATGAGCGAGGATGAAATTGCAGAGTTCAGAAGATCTTACAAATTAACATCAGTGGAAAGTTTGAGGTCGCTCGAATCAGTTTCGGAAGATGCAAATTCTCAGAGCGGCACGTCTATAGACTCGAGGTGTAGAGCTTGTCTACGGACGAGTCAAGAAAGTCTTATGTCACTGGACTCTATTACAGAGGATTGTCGATGCCAAGAATTTTGCGAACGACGCACTCATAGATAAAATACGAAAGGTAATTTTTGGTCGTCGCTTACACCAAATTGAATTTGGTTATACAATGGTCTTTGACTAGAACCGGCAAAAGGACTTCCTTACACAAATGGAATATGCCATGGTTTAAAAAATTAACGAATCCTCGAATCCCATTTTGACAATTTTATAACTAGTGTTATAGACGGAATCCTTAATATTTATGGGGCAGGCGACTTAAAATATTTCTATAGTGGACTTTATCGCCGTACCATTAAGTCATCTATTTATCCATTTACAGCCAACGATCCTGTCCAAAGTGTGAAACTAAGAGGTGGGTGACTGGGTATTTATTATTCAACGAAAATCCGTAAATAATTTATCAAATGTTAACGTTTTTGACATATATCGATGATATGTTATTAATTTTAAGAGACCACAATAGGTTTTAAAAACAAATACATTGTTAGGAGACACTTATGAGAAGTGGGACTTTTTTCACTTATAAATATTATATGATACAATAGTAGGATCACAAACATATTTCTAGAATAGTTTATTTAAAAAATATTATGAATGTTCTTCAAAAATATTGTTTTATTTTAATGTTCTAAGAAAACTAGGAACGCTATTGGCATGATTGTCTCATTGTTACTTTGAGTTCACGTGAATTGTACGTAGTGCTCTGTTTTAATATGTATGAATGTTCTGGGAGTAGTGCCACTACTCAGTGCAACACGATAAATTTAACGCACTGAATATATTTTATACAAAGTATATTCCGTGCAGTTGATAATTGAGTGACTTCTATGTATTTGGGCACATACGGCTTTGTAAGTCACAGAAGATATGTGGAAGTTTTCTGATAGGAAAATGTGTTGCAATTTAAAACATAACAATTCTCAACAACAAGTTTCTTGCAAACTAAATAAAAATATATCTGTAAAATGAAATTATTTTTTAGATTTATTTGTCGTTACGGATTTTCGTCGTATTTGACACAAAGAGACAAATAGTTCAATTAAAACGGTAGATGATTGTTCTTTTTATAAATGAAGAGGTTATAATAACGTTACTACACAAAATTATTAACATATATAAATGGTACTTCCTGTAGTAGTGCCTCCAATCTAAATTAATTTATATCATGTGAACAGCTGATATGTCATTGACCTTTAAAACGTCAACCCCAATGAAAAGTAAAAGTTTGTGGAACTGTAAGGGTCTTTGAACTTTGGGTCGAAGGTTTTTCATATTTTTAATTATTTATGGTAAAATTTATGTTAAAAAAAATTTATATATTTTCCTCTTTGTCATTTTAACGAATATGTAAAGGTAACTGATTTATGAGGTGAGGTAAAAAGAATGTATGTATATATTAACTTGACAATACATTTTCCTATCGAAAATCTCTTTGAAGTGTCATTGTTTTTGAAGAATAGTTCACTGTTTCTCTAGATATTGAATACTTTTCACTCGTGTAATACTTTTCAACAGTTGCATATTGTTATTAAATCGTTTTAAAGCAAACTGTCTAGGGAAGGGGTTATAAAACAACATGTTTATGGCGCCAAAGCTAGCCTTGCCATAGAGCAAAAGTTATGAATTTCCTTGTTGGTACATTTTTAATCTGTACCGTAACCAATTGACGTTTTATCTTTTTATCTATAGTCTATTAAACGGCGTTATTCTGACTGACGTTCGTAAAGTAATGGAAGCGTGTTAAAATTGCAGGAAACTTATTTCTGGTATACAAACTGATTTATTGGGGATATTATTTTATAACTGCGGAGAAACAGTGAATACAGCAAAGATGTATTTCCTACAGTCCGCCATTTTGAATATGACCTTTGATTACAAAATAAGCAATTCAAAATGGCGGTCTTGTATCAGCATAATTATACGTGATTTGTTACATACGGGTTACTGAGAAAGAATCTATTTATAAGTCTGTTAAAAGTACTTTAATCAATTGTAAATAATTATAAATTTATGTACTATAATGGATTTTATATGCAAGTAGTTTACAAATATCCCGAGTCTACGTAATGTAAGCTAATATTGAATGTTTTGTCCTTATCACTTTAGTGTTACTTAAACGAGACAAAACACTGTATAACTTATCGTGTTACTGAATTGCTTTTACATGTACAAATATATTGTTTCGTCTCTTTCACTCTATAGTCGTTTTGATGTAAAAAACAGAGACAAAACATATGCTCATAGTGAATCTATAATTAGGACTGTTGCCACATTAACTTAGTAGAAGTTTCAAATAGATCTTGAATGTTCCATCTCCTTCACTCTAGTATCGCTTTGAATGTTACTAAAAGAGACAACATTATTTTACCATTCATAGTACATTTAATTCAAATGTTTTGTCTCTATTCTTTACTTTCAAAGCAATACAGAGTGAAAGAGATGGGACATTCGTGATGATTCCTGTTCCGTATTAACTCGCTTTGAGTGACAAAACACTATTGGAGTCTTATATTTAATAAGATTGCTGTGTAAAGTATGTAAAAATTTCATTTGCCAAGGGCATTGTGTAATATATAAACGAAAAATCTGTATTAAAAACCCCTTCTATCTAAAGGGAATAAAGGGGGTTGTGTGTAACCAGCACTGGTACTCTGTAACCTCTGGAATTGGACTTCAAAATTTTTGTATTGCGACAGTGAGAGTCAGAGACAGAGTACAATTGCACTTCGATGACACAGAAAGTGAAAGATAGAAATTATCAAATAGAGGCAGGTCTGCCCCCATACCCCCCATTATAGAAGTGCAACGGGGTAATTATTACACTAATGGGTTACCATATCCATCTAATTGTTAATTAAATACAGTTATTTTCGATAATTTAAGGTCTAACAACTGAATGTTGAGAAAGAGTAAGAGATTCCTATAAGGGTTCTAAGGATAACGTTCAGAAACTTGACAAACTACATCTTCCGTATATCAAAATCCAATTAAGCACGGGAGTCAGACTTAACGTCAAGTCTTTGAAGTGATCCATAAGGCCATACAAACGCTAGTGGATTTTAGTCCTAGCGTAGTGAAACTTTTTAGCTGAACTATTTAATTTAACTGATAACTTCTGAAGAAGTAAATTAGTGTGGATATGGAAACCTATTTGTAACCTAATGTTATTTGTAGATATACTAAGAATTCATTGACAGTGTATTCGTTAATTCGATTGCACTAGTGTGCTGAACTGTGCGGTAGTGTTGCACAGCGTACGGCACAAATGTTTGTTTTGGTCGACTCACTCAAGCGAACAAAAACAAACTGCGCGAATATTTCAGTAAAGTTCGCGCCCAACTGTGCACTTGTGCGCGCACGCGTGTGTGTGGTGGACTCGTGTCGACGCGCACACACTCGTTCGCGAACTAAGTCTTGCTTCCGCTACTTTTTTGAATGATCAAGTCCATATTAGAAACTGTCGGCAGAAAATCTTCTCAGTGAACAAGTGTGCAACACTATGCGCTCACAAAAGTTACACACATTGCCGGTAGAGACAGAAGCCAAACGCGACACGCGCTTAGTTCTGCTAAAGTTTTGCACAAAATGTTTGTAAACAAATGTGCTGCACGCTATTTTGGTGCTATCGTACCTTCCGTTACGTATCGCGTTTGGCGATAGCAGACTAGGACGAGTCCACTACTTGTACCTACCGTGTGGGCGAACAAATTTGTTATTGTTCGCTTGAGTGAGTCGACGAAAACAAACATTTGTGCCGTACGCTGTGCAACACTACCGCACAGTTCAGCACACTGCTGGAATCGTAGCTTAACACTGAATTTAAAGTTACTTAATCACTCACAACACAGCAATTACTTCAAAGTTTGAAGAAGCAATTGCTCCTATTTGATATTCGCGTTGTCTCTGACTATTCCATAGATAGACACAGATTATGAATTATAGATGAATGTATTAAAAGTGCTTGATACCAGTTATCTTCGGAAAGGTTTTTGTAATTGCACGTTGCACCATTAAGATATCAGAACGTTTAAAGCGCTCTTAAGCACTTGGAAATGCTTGTTTTATAGATGCGCCGAGTATGAAATTAACCAAGTATTCATTATATAAGAATACCTGGATTGTTCGGTTCCATTATAAATGTGGTACGCGTAATGTAAGCAGCTAGCCTCTGGCGCTGAATTTTTTAATATCAGTATCAGTTATAGCTATGTATTATTTTGGTATGTATTATTTTAATTTTCGGCCTTAGATTTCTGTATCTTATCCGTGATCATTTCTAATAGGCAAGTAGGTGATCAGCCTTCTGTGCCTGATACACCCCGTTGACTTTTTTCCTTCACCGTTGACGCTTTAAATGCGCATATAGACAAAAAATAGGTACACTCGGATTCGAACGTATGATCTCAGGGATGAGAGTCGCGCACTGAAGGCCAGACAGTCCAGAAAAGTCTGCTCTTTTTATTGTTTATTAATAGTATTAGCCTGATTCAAAATATCCGAAGCGTTTTTAAACTCGGCGCATTTCTAGTAAAATTATTTTAAATCTTTCCTATTAGCAATCACAAATTTTCCCGTAAAATATGTGAAGTAAAATCATTTTTCATTTAAGTGGAATCAAGCACTCTAGAACACATTTCTTTAATCAAACGATTACCTTGCAGTCTGCCATTGGCAATAGAAATGACAGCTTCAAAATGTCTTTGGTTTATTCCATAGTGTAACTGTTGGATAAAATCTATAGGTATGTACACTTATCAACATTAAAAAATGAATAATAAAGTATATTTACCACCAAAAGAACTGGCAAGAAATTCTTTAATAATGTTTGTGAGCTGCACTGCAATCTTTGCAAGGTACATTTTACAATACAAAGTTGTAAGAAATCGTTTGTTTAAAGACTGTAATTGTCAAAGACCAAATGTTATCATAATAATGTTTATAATTGTATATAGCTTGTATATAATTGTTTATGTCATGTATTTTAGACTCTGTGGCAATAAATAAAACACCAATGTACATTTTAATCTCGTAAATGTAGTCAAAAATTAATTTGTAATTGAAGCCATAATAAACAATAGAAACATTGAGATTTGTAGTAGTACGAGACGTTATCTATTGTCATTTGGGGTTTTACGTATAACATTTAGTTTATCGATAACAGAACTGTTTGTACTTAAATTATACTGCCATAGACTACCGCTACAGACTATATTTTTTTTCTGGCCTGCCCTGCGATTCTGTAACTCACTTTACGAACTCACACAGCGGTTTTCGCATCGGCGGTCGCTCTCAAATCAGTCGTGAAGCAGTCATTTTATGATTTGGTATTCAGAAAAGGTGGGAGCTTGTAGTTTATTTTTTATCAGAATGCCAAATCATAAAATGACTGCTTCACGACTGATTTGAGAGCGACCGCCGATGCGAAAACCGCTGTGTGAGTTCGAAAAGTGAGTTACAGAATCGCAAGGCTGTGCAAAGATTACCCTCACAAGCTCTACCTTATAACGTTGACAATGCAATTTGATATTTATCTAGAAGTGACTGCTATTTTGCGAAGAAGCTATCGTTTTACAGACACAACAACGATAACTTTTTCTTCTCACTCTTGCTTCCTCACGCCTACATATTGGTTATAAACTTATAGGTTAGCGTGAGAGCGGGATGGGTGAATTTTAAATGACAACACGCGTGTAACGTTAGCTACGTTATGTCAAATTTGTCAGATGACATTGACAGTGCGTTTTAAGCGTCACGTTTTAATCATGTTTTTGTATAAATTTTTGTAAATATATCGCATAGGCTTAATTGTTAAGCCCTTAATCCACCTCGGGATTGCGATTTTTTTTTATTAAACGCAACGCGGGCTTTTTTGTGTGATACAATAATGTAATTTCGAATAAATGTACATTAAATATTTAAATTTACTATGTGGTATTATTTTCTCGAGTCTATCCTTTTTGCCATCACGTTACAACCAAATTCACTGCTAGACTAGCATAAAATTGTATACGAATGACAAAATTGCTCTTAGTCACGTGATTATATCCATATAATTTGGATTGGAAGAGATCTTGTTTTTGATACCGCCGCCCATGTACACTCGTAAAGTGTATGTCGTAAACCGATTGGCTAAGGTTCACGCGTGCACAGTATACAATCTGATACAATAGTTATAAAATGTTTAGGCACAAGTACGCAAGTTGTCTTAGAATTGTGACAGAGTATACAGTTATAGCGTCGATCTGTCATTTTCATACAAATATCAAGACAATAATACCGATCGGTCCTCCAAAGATGGACAAAAACAGATTGACTATCGTTTTTCCGCGCCTAGCGCAAAGGCGTCAGCGAGACTCGGGCAAGACTGAAGTTCACTGGAAAGTGCGAAGTAAAGGTCAAAAAAAAAACTCTTCGAGGATCCTCCCTTTAGGTCGGAAGAGCACAAATTCCTTCCACCACAATGTCTTAAGTCTACATTTTAAAACAACAGAAAATTATAATAAGAATTCGAGGCCAGATTTAAATTTTATTCACGTTTTAGCGAGAACTCCAACATCGGCATCCTTTTACGGTTATTAGAATGTTAGTGCATCGTAAATAGTTAATTATAAGTTCCATTTTATTGCAGATTATTGTTTCATTGCTACATGGATATACTCTTCATCGTATTACTATGTAAGATATTTTAATATATAAATTCTATTTTAGTTTTTATATCGTAATGTAATCGTGACAACAAAACTTCTTTAGCGAATATATTTTATTTATTTATTTACACTTTGTTGCTTTATGATATAAAAATTTAACAAAATTACAAGTAAAGGAAAGGCAACTGGCGGCCTTATCGCTTTCGAGCGATCTCTTCCAGGCAACCACTGTGAGAAAAGAAAAAGAAATGTATTAAATTACATAAGGTAGGCAAAAAGTGCAAAAATACATGTATAACGTCATATAGTTGTTAAGAAAAAGAAACTAAACAGGAACAAACTAAACCAATAAAGGATACATTTAAAAAAAAATATAATAATAAAAAGTGCACATGAATCATTATAATTATTAATATAATACAGAAATGACGTTGAAGGTTAGTTCAGAAAGATTTATGTTCAATGACTCAATTATAACTACACACATTCACGCATCTTAAAGTCTTACAGGAAGTCATTTCTCGCTTCCTCTCAAAGTGGCGAAGACTTGTTCAAGCCCTTAATTAATGTGGTGAGCCTGCCTGATAGCTTTGAGATAATCCCACCACCTTGAACCTTTGATCCTACCCGTAGGGTTCCGTTTGTTACCTTAGGTCTCTTGGTGCAGACATCCCGTACTTATATATTCACTATTTATGTGTTAGGGTAGGGCTTTGGGATCCGTTGGGTTAGGTCCTTACAACTCACCTCCTCGTATATTTAGTTATCTAGTGCAGCTTGCACATACACTACATATACTATAAAGATATTCCTAACATTTAAATTTATCCACACATTTCACTGGCTGGCAAGCTGTACAGGATTTTTGTTTGATTATATGTAACACTAAGACTACTTTTTTTTAAATAATGTTTGTGCCACGGAATAATTGTAATCTAACCCAGAGCACAAGAGCTCCCTAGTGTGGGGACGATCGGTAGATCAATTCTGTCACAACCATCGATATTACTGTCATGAATTAAGTTGTATTATTATAAATGAACTAGCCATGGACATATATTGAATTCAGTTATACAATGTATGTTCTTTTTAACAACCATTAGCGACAGCGTTTCCAAAATTTTCATATGAAATTTAGATAATAATAAATACTGTCCGGCTAAGATAAATACAAAGTAAATGCCTAAAATATTAAAATATTTAGTCCCTATGCTTATCTATCGGTAAACGGATATGTATTTATAAACAGTCTTTCGACTTTTCTCTTTTCTATTCTCCACTCTAGTTTTCGATATGTGGTCTTTAAGTTTTTATATCGCTTAATTTAATTTTATCTTTCCTTTTTCCTCCTGTTGTACTTCTTTCCATACTGATATGATAATTTTTTATTCTATTCCTTAGTCTGACAGTAAACAAACAATTTAGATAATAATATCTTTAACATTTAGCACTGATACCTCAATCATACGCAGCTGAGCTTGGGATCGCAATGGCTGTCTTTTCTTTTAAACTAATATTATGCCCTTAATTAGGTATCCCTGTCAGTCGTCAAGAAATAGACTTCAACCCTTGGGAATCCTCATTACTGGTTTGTGAGCGTCTTATAGCCATCATGAGAACATATTCAGAGGAAGCAAAAAGCCGTATTGGCGAAATGAACACAATACGCGCGTATTATGACGTTACTGCGTTATTTGAAATGGGTTATGTAGTGTCCGAGCTTCTTGAACGGTGCGTAATATTTTTCATCAAAGCAAGTACAGATACCGGCAAACTTCTTGAGCATTAAACAATGGAGTGGGGGAAAGTTTGCGCATCGTACACAAACGTCAACTGATTTACCAATCACGCGATCGACACGTTACTCCCTCGCCGCCCCACCTCCCAGTGATACCTAAAAATCGCTTCTGCGCAGGCAAGGACATTTGTTCAAGATGTTTGCCGGTATCTGTAATAATACGTGAGCAGTGTTGGCCTAGTTTTAGCGTGCCACTCGGATCCCTTGTTCCATTTGATCGTTGAGAAATATAGTCACAATCATGACGGGCAGTCAGGCTTTGACATTCTAAAACAGCATCGTTCCGTATCACCTCGACGACAGTCGTTCCACAATTTAGCGTTGTTTAAGGCACTATGATGCGCGCCACAACTGGAACCTATCCACTGAAGTATTTCCGAATTAATTCGATTTAGGGTCCTTTAAGAAAAGTGCGTTAAAAGTCCTGCAACGCACTTTCGAGCCTGTGTCAGTGTCTATGGGCACTTAACATCAGGTAAGGCCCTGTTTTATAAAAGAAAAGCGTCCGCGCCTACCATCATTGTGATACCTTAGATGACTCGTTTACTGTTCAATTTGCAGCAGTGTTGGCCTAGTGGCTTCAGCGTGCGACTCTCAACCCTGAGGTCGTAGGTTCGATCCCCGGCTGTAGACCAATGGACTTTCTTTCTATGTGCGCATTTAAAATTCGTTCGAACGGTGAAAGAAAACATCGTGAGGAAACCGGCCTTCCTTAGACCCAGCAGTCGACGGCGTGTGTCATGCACAGAAGGCTGATCACCTACTTGCCTATCAAATTGAAAAAATTATCATGAAACAGATTCAGACATCTGAGGCCCAGACCTAATGATGTCGCAATGTAGCGCCACTGATTTATATAATGTAGATATCGGAAAATGGTACTACAAATAAAAGGTCCCTACGAAGAGCGCGAGAACTCTCCCGGAGTAGCATTTGCAACGAAACGCTGCGAGTACGTGCAGAAGTTGTTCTTCGAGATATTTCAGTTGTGCAATATGGTGCATGAGATAGAGAAGAAGTGGTCGGAATCGTTAATTCGCGAAAGGAAACGAATAACAGGCGAAGACGGCGAAGGGATAGACGGGTTAGTGTGTAAAATAACAGTACATTTACGTGTTTTAAATCAAGTTAATTTTCTTATGAAGAGAAACATAACAAACACATTACGCTGGCCATAGATGGACCGCATGTTGCAGCCGACACCGACTGCTCTAGAGCGGTCTATACTAAATTCATATCCGCAATACACGAGCAGTCGCTCGGCGGTGAAGCTTCGCCGTGCGGTCGACTGCTTAGAGCTGCCGGACCCACCATACACGGACCGCTACAAGCGGTTGCTGCCGACCGCGAGCCTCTCCCTCAAATAAAATAAAATACCAACTAATTCATCAAATGAAACCACGGACATTCTAAAGTAGTTGAAAAATATTTTAGTGTTTTCTCTCAGCTGGGGATACAAAGTATGAAAAATTCCATGCTGTTCTCTTGATTGTAGTATTGGACGCACCCACATACTGCGGTGTCTTCTACGCCTACGGTTGCGTAATAATAGTACAAGTAGCAGTGTTTCTTCATCGAATTCCATCTTGTAAATGAACTCGCATCAGTATTATTTTGCGGTCAAACACAACTACTCCAAGCAGTCGTAATCGACTGCATTATTAGAGTAATTGGTCGCATTGAAGTCGTACACGACTGCAACACGACCGCTCTACAGCAGTCGGTTTTGACTGCAACATGCGGTCCGTCTATGGCCAGATTTAGACCGTTTTTACGTTCGGGCGGTGAAGACAGATCTCTATCTGCAGTAAACAATGCTTTGAGAACATGCGCAGCTGATCCATTTTATGACGGCCTCCATGTCTTCAGCCATTGTTCCGTCACCAATAAAAAGAAATATGTTACATTTTGAAATTGCATATTTGATTTAATGTTTGTATTTCTTAGTCTAGTTTGTGTGTATTGTATTCTTTATTATCTCTTTTATAATTGTAAGGTTTCTCTTTAAATGTTGCGCACACTTGTCAAGCACATGTCTGTGGTTTTGTATGTTGTGTGTTCTCTATGTCTGTATGCGTTTCGTTAGTATGTATTCTTAAAATAAATAAATAAAAAGTAACAGTTAAATATATAAATAAAGTGAAAGGAAGTCTGAACTTCCAAAAACGTAAAAAATCTGAATTTACATACTATACTATACTTTTTAAAATAGTTAGTTTAAAGGAAACATAAAAGTTATCATAGATAATAATACAATAGATATAACGTACGTAACTAGAATCTATTTTGTACACTTTTTAATTAAATGTTACAGAGAGGAGAGACGTAAAAGAATCGAGGCAGCCATTGCAAATTCCCGAGCGGCTCGATTAAAGGAGATCAAAAAGAGAAGAAAATGGCGCAAGCAAAAGGATAAGTTTGGTTTAATCGCGAACGTTCAAGGGAATAAAGACAGACGCCCAAAGAATAAATGGTGGCCATTAGATTATGGCTGGGAGATAGATTATTATTGGTAATTAAAATTTATTCAATAATATTTGTTGTACATAGTATTGTCTTTGATTGACATAACCTTTACACATTTAAAGAAAAAACTTTTTAACCGGATTAAAGTTATGTATTATTATACATTTACAAAAAAAAAACTCGCGAAAATAGAGGACACCGTGAGCCATTTTTGCCAAAACCCTCCATCTTTTAGTCGATATCGGGGAAATAAATACAGATAATGCAACTTTCTCTACAGCTGTGATACTTTTTGACATCCAACACCTTTTGTCTTCAGTCACCGTGACCACGCACGCTGTAAAGCACGCGAAACGTCGGATAAATTTAAAATTATGTTAAATAATTGTAAATTTATAATAATACATAACTTTAATCCGGTTAGTTTTTTCTTTAGATATTTTTTGTTATTCAAATTACTCATATAAAGAAAATTGTTCTTTCACTTAGAGCATTTCACGTGTTCAGTTCATTACTGGATGTTTATTAGAGTTACAACTACTAGCGTAAAGCGAGATATTGGTGACCTGACAGTTAAGGACTGAACTTTTTGACAAAACTGTTTTTCTAGGCATAGCAATAGATAGTAAACTCCAGTGGAGCCCACACATAGACTCTTTCGAATAGGCTGACCTCTGCAGCATATGCAGTAAAGAAAATCCGACAGTTTACTGATAAGGACACGGCTAAAATCGTGTATCATAGCTATTTCACACCGTTATGTCGTACGGTATTCTACTGTGGGGTGCTGCTGCAGAGAATCCATATTTGTGCTGCAGCGGGCTGTTCGGGATATTTGTTGTGTTTCTCCGAGGGAGTCGGTACAGAATAAGTTTACGGAATTAAATATTATGACACTATCTGGTCAATATATTCTTAAAGCCTTGTACATACACACAAAAATATAAAAGATTTTAAAACAAATGGTGACTTTCACCAGTATAATACGCGAAATAGAACTAATTTTAGTATACGACCAGGCTCCAGAAAATAAACCACTCCTTATATGGAAATTGTATTCGTTGTACAACAAACTCCCAAGCGAAAATAAAGAATGATCACTAAATAAATTTAAAGTCCTTGCTAAACGTAAATTAATCAATTAAGCTTTTTATAAATTTGACGAATACTTAAATAATCCTAATCCTTGGGATTGATTTGCTCCAGTTCAAACAATTTGTATGACACAAAACTTAGCGATTAAAAGAGTGGCGGAAAGTTTCTTGTCCGCTCTACGCCCTTGACTTGCGAACTGGTAGTAAATGTAAATTTACAGTTTAATTAACTTCTTTTTTGTGTACTTGTTTACCTATATGAATAAAGTTATTTTGAGTTTGAGTTGAGTTTGATGGAGCTCCCTCACTATTGCTGTGCGTCTACAGTGTGTGGTTGTGCAGGTGTCCCTGGTAAGGTGAGTGCGGGGGAGCACTAACAGCATACTGGCGATAATAGCGGGAAGGCTGGATGGGCCTTACATGAATCATTGCATTTTTGTATAGAACAGGGGGCAAACGGGCAGGAGGCTCACCTGATGTTAAGTGATACCGCCGCCCATGGACACCGTCAATGCCAGAGGGCTCGCGAGTGCATTGCCGGCTTTTAAGTATTGGTACACTCTTTTCCTGAAGGACCCTAGGTCGAATTGGTTAGGAAATACTTCAGCTGGCAGCTGGTTCCACATAGTCCGGCAAAAACTGCCTTAAAAAAATGCTTATGGAACGACGGACGTCGTGGTGATACGGGTGGGATTTCGTATTCTGGCTCGACGTCCGATGATGAAACACAGCTGCAATTATTAATCCGAACAACTACTCCAACTACTCCACTCTCCATGGTAAATGCGGTAGACGCTGGAGAACATTAAATTAAATATCAATTAATTATTAATTATAAAATATACTTTAAAGCTAACCTACTACTATAACATTTAAGACAATATTGTAAGCATATGGACTAATTATTTTCTGCTCAAGTAAATGAATAATTATTATAAATCTACATGCACTGCCACTTCTCAAATTTCAAAAAGTCAAAAATTATTTATTCATATAGGTACACACTTATGAAAGTCAAAAAAGAAATATACATTAAATGCTTCTAATTTTACATTTACTGCCAGTTCTCAAATCAAGGGCGTAGAACGAAGGAGAAGAACTGGCAAAAAACTCTCCGTCACCCTTTTTAATCGCCAAGTTTTTTGTTTTACACAACGTTTGTAAGGAGCTGCAACATGTTCCACATGACATCTTAAGTTATAAATAATAATAAAATAAATTAAAAACAAAGATTTGTCCTCTATCAGCAGGAGGCATGGTGAAATAGGAGCACGCACTTACATTCTCGTGGGACGACGTGGGTGCAAATTAAGGGAGAACTTCCAGAACGGAATAAGTACTGGCAATGAACTGCCCGTCCCTTTATCTACAATCCCAATAGCCGTAGATATTAACGTGTTGTAAACAGTACCGGGATATCTTAGGATCGGAGTCGTACAAATAAGATATACTTAATAAATATTTTATTATCAATTAGATCGAGAATCTGGTTCCGGTGTGGTGGTTTTAGGGCGTGGTTTCGCGTTTCCAACTAATAGTTTTAAATCAAATGATGGTGCGTTGTCGTCTAAGTTATGCAGTATGTGTACCATTTGATCTATTTCCACTTCTAAACCTCGTATTTCTTCTAATCTGTAACATAACATTTAATAAAGAAAACAAAATCCCTGTTAACAAAAAAGAACGTTGCCCTTACTGCATGCTGTCTCCGACACTATCGACATCTTTATATGTTCGCAGAGTTCACGATATTGTGTATCTTATTTTTACATCATCGTATTAGCTTTATACAAAAAATGAATCATTATTATAAAGGTAGAATTGTGTTACGATAAGATTCAGTCTCAAACTATTAGAAAAAATATCAAAAAAGAAACTACAGTCTTATCTATGGACTAAAGACCGTGGCCTGGGGTTCAAGTGCACAGGCGCTAATTAAAGATTTAAGTTGGCGCCTAGAAGTGCTTTCCTCGCTCAATGAATAAGTATCGCAATACAGCGAGATAATGCTAGCATTAAAGTTACACTGCCACAAGGACCAAACTTTTTAAATTTGATTTAATTTTTTATCTATCAATTTTGATTATTATTATTACTTTGTAGGTTGAGAATATTGAAAAAGTGTAAATTGTGTGTGGAACTCATACTACAGATTTCTGAAGACAATTCATAATATATGACAACCAAGTGACAGTTTTTTATTTCTAAAAAGACATCAAATATTAATGATCCAGCTTTTTTAGTTCTTTCCTTTACTTATTAATTATGTTCCCACCGTTTAAAGTAGGGATGCATCCGATACCGATGCCGATACCGATATATCGACGATACTTTGGGTTTGCCGATATATCGGCATCGGCGATATTTTCATTGCCGATTCAACGATACTTTTCAAATTTCACGTTTTAAAAAAATAACGTAAGCGCGCATTTTGTATGATCTAGTTTGTTGCAAACGAGCCACGGCACGGACTATTATTGCCCGAGAAATCCCCGCGTTTTATTCAGTTTGTTGTCTCTATCATTCGCTTGGGGACAAAGCATTATTATTTATGTATATATGTATTTCATTTCGCTAAACACTATTTATTTATTAAAACTTTGTTGCATTACAATATAAAAATTGAACATAATTAAATGAAAAGGAGGGCAAAAATACATATTACATATAAACTAAAAAAAGTTGGTATCGGTATCGGTATCGACGATATTCCTATAAGTGTATCGGCATCGGTATCGTATCGGCAAAAAAGCGTATCGATGCATCCCTAGTTTAAACCTTCTTTGAACTTTCACAAAAATTTCAAGATCATAATTATCCAAATCGTTACAGCTATTCTTAAGTTTAAGCGAAACAAGTGATCAGCAATTGATTTTATACGTAAAAGATACTTGCGTACACTTAGCTTTTGTTTTCAGAAAACAATTTCGTGAAAATGTATGTGTTTATAGCTTCAATACGTCCTTTTAGTAAATCTAATTCAAGAAAAGAGCGTACCCGTTCTTAATAGGCCGGCAACGCACTTGCGAGCCTTCTGGCAGTGTAAGTGTCCATGGGCGGGCGGTAGCACATCATCAGATGAGTTATATAAAATAAAGTTTATTTTATTTATTATTATATAGTACAATTGACATAATTAAATAAAAAGAAGAGCAGCTGGCGGCCTTATCGCTTTCGAGCGATCTCTTCCAGGCAGCCACTATCTATTCTATCTATATAAATATCACAAAAAAACTGGAATGTTGACTATTAAGTTAACTTCAGGGTGTTGGTTGTTTGAGACGGTGTGCACGCATCGTAAATGATAAATGATTTATTTTCTGTAAGTAGGTTTGTACAAACACTTTTACACGTCAAGCATATTTTTTTAAAAACTAGATGAGTTCGACGTTTCCTATCTGACTACTCTGAGAAGAAACGCCGAAACAAACTCAGAGGTCACAGTCTCTTTTAAAATCCAGACATAATCTTGGTCAGATCATGTGAAGACAATGTAGATTGCAGTGTGAAATGGTCTTTTGAGGAAAGAACCACACAGATTCAGTGGACCTGTCCAGTCAGTGCACGCATTTGTCAGTAATCTTACGTAAAATTTACTTTCATCATTTTCCCAAAAGCGCCAAAAGAAGTGTAACTTCAAAAATCTAGTCTGTAATGTTTTAAGAAATAATCCAATGCAGGTATCACCTGAGGAGGTTGTGCAGCGGTCTCCGAGGATTCGCATTTGGTAGCGTCAGATTTGCTGCTCCCGTACATTTATTCCTTGTCATCCGATATAATTCCAGCATCGAGCGATATTTTTCTCGTATTCGACCTATTCAAATTTGAATGAATTGTTAAGTCTATGGACACTCTTTTATTACCAACTATTTTATCCTGCTCATAAACCTAGAGGCAATGAGTACTTGGAGAAATTGATCATGAAATTAACACGGACGGCAAAAGACCGTGGCCGTTCACCAACCAGATGAACCGATCAAGTGAAAGATTCATGGTCTTTTTTTTATAGAACCGTGGACAAACGGGCAGGAGGCTTATTTGATGTTAATACCGCCGCCCATGGACAATGGCAGAGGGCTCGCCAGTGCGTTGCCAGAGTTGTTCTTAAAGGTTAAGTCGAATTGGTTCGGAAATACGGTTCGGTTCCACAAAGTGGTGGTGCGCGGCAAAAACTGCCTTGAAAAACGCTCAGTTGTGGAACGGCGGACGTCGAGGTGATACGGGTGGAATTTCGTACTCTGCCTCGACGTCCGATGACGAAACTCAGCTGCAGGTATTAATCCGTATACATCTTGCCTCAAGACGGCATTCAACGTTCTCTCTATCAGTAGACATGGCGAATAAGCACGCACTTAGTGAAAACAATGATTACCAAGCAAAGTCCCAACGGCAAAGGCCGTGTATGGATTGGCCTCGTCTTTAAGGCCGTCCAATTGTCTGATCTTCAGTTTCGCTTCCTTTATCAGCTCATATCCCATAGCCCGAATCCTTTTTCTATCATTCCAGTCTGTAAGATCTTTTATTGGATCATCATACCCAGATACAAAGACGGCTGGGGAACACACCAACTATTAATTATGCAAGACAGCACTAGAAGACTTCTGTGCGTCAAGAAGGTCCGTGCCAGAGTTCGCTCTAGTTTCGATTCTGAATCTTTTATCTTTCTCTCACGCACATTCCTATACATTCTCAACAGGATTTAGTAGTTTCAAATAGTTATAAAATATAGTACGAGAGTAGATTTGTAACTATTGTGTATGTGTAATGCCATTTATTTCTACTTCTTGGAGTCATCATGATGGGCAAGGTTTAGGGGAAAAGACGCGCTGGCAGAAGGAGAAAGTCGTGGCTTCAGAGAATGGACGGGAGTGGCCAGCGTAGAACAGCTGATGCGCTTGGCGAAGAATAAAAAGGAGTATGACGAGTTGACCGCCAAAATCTCGTAGTGGAGAGATTAATCCGTTCCAGCACCTCAAACACCTCCTCAGTTGTTTTCGTTAAGTGGTTTTTAATAAGAAAATGATTTCACACTTTATTTTCATATGACATTCCTACATTATGTTGGTTATCTAGAATGATATTTGAATTTATCAGTGCCGAGGCCCCAAAAGCAGTGATGGCCTAGTGATTCAAACGTGCCACTCTCCTTGAGGTCGAAGGTTGACCAATGGACTCTCTGTCTGTCCATCACTCGTACGGTGAAGGAATACATCGTTAGGAAAGCGGCATGTCTCAAATACAAAAGTCGAAAAAGACGGCGAAATCTCGTCACATACTTGTCTATGACATTAAAATGATCCATGAAACGGATGCGATCTGAATCCAAGACCCATTTAGGATTGTAGCGCCATTGAATCATTATTATTATAAAACTAGCTGACCCGGCAACCGTTTGTTTTACCATGTATATTATTTCTAGGAAATTTTTATTTCAATAAAAATAGTAGGAAATCGTAGAAGGGTGAAAATTAACGGTTGTATACTGTATCATAAAAAAATAAAAAAGGTTTTCTATTAAAAAAATTTGTTGTGGACACCCCTTATCACTTAGGGGTTTGAAAGATAGATAGTAATTAGTAGCCGATTCTCAGACTTACTGAATATGCATTAAAAACGTTTCGGAGGAGTATGGGAACGAACATTGTGACACGAGAATTTTATATATAAGATTAGATATTCTCGCAGTGTTTTAGAATTACAGCAATTTTAGGTTATTATTCTGTTTTTAAATGCTTTATACTTACTCAAAAAAACAATATAAATTGCCATTCCACACATAATCCACAATTTTTTTTTTAATTAACAGTTTTATACCTAACTATTTGTTTTTAATTGCTAACCAATTATAGAAATGTTATTAATACGTGTCTAAATTTTGGTAATAAAAAATGGTCGTAATTTTATAATAAGCAAGGCGAAATACAGAATAATTAAATCACTATAGAATTGATTTTTTATAATATTTGAATAGATTTTCATTACTTTTTGAAATACGTAAGCCCGGGTAATGGAGCAATTAAGATCCGATTTATCAGTAGAAAGGTTATTTATATGGAATAAAACGTATTTTTTTTCTATCCAACGGTGGCAAACAGGCTGGAGGCTCATCTGGTGTAGACACTCATAGACACTCTTAATTCCAGACAGCAATACATACAATATACACAACTGCGCGTTATATAAGGCAAAACTGCCTTAAATAACGCCCAGTTGTGACAGATTCGAGGTGATACGGGTGGAATTTTGTATTCTGCCTCGACGTCCGATGATGAAACGTTTATAACTCATCAACTAAATCCAAATTCACTTCGTAAACTATAAACAACTAGCTGTTCCCTGCCACGCTTCGCTGTGGCACATTGTGATTGAATGGTTGAGAAATGAGAAACAAAACAAAGAAAACATTTCATATAAGTTTAATTTTGCGATACTTGTGGAAAAAAAAAAAAAAAAAAAAGATAAAAACAATTATGTGGATTATATATCATGCTAAAATTTCAAAAATGATAGGTGCAGTACGTTTTGAGTTTCTGAAGCGTACACAAACCAACATAAAATTTTTATATATATATATTTATTAAGCCAAAATGTTACAATAAGAATGAAAATTAAATTGAAATATTTATCTCAAATCCTGCCTTCAAAAACCTTCGTGTTCTTCCGTTCTATGAGTCGTACCATGTCAATTAAGTTTGTGATTTCAATAGCTTTATTCGCGATCTGCTCGTACGCACTTATATGCTCCATTGGCTTCCACTCTTTGTATAATCTTTTCATCGTGAGGGCAATATCGGATATAATACTGAATTTGTCTGTTATATCACCTATAATGAAGCCTGTAACAAAGAGTCATTATTACAGAACGCAAAGTACCTACGTAACGTAACGTAAAGGCCCTAGAAGCCCCGAAGGCTTTTTGGCGTTCGCACAATCGCTCGTACAATAACAGCCCTGCGATTCTGTAACTCACTTTTCGAACTCACACAGCGGTTTTCGCATCGGCGGTCGCTCTGAAATCAGTCGTGAAGCAGTCATTTTATGATTTGGCATTCTAATAAACAATAAACTACAAGCTCCCACCTTTTCAGAATGCCAAATCATAAAATGACTGCTTCACGACTGATTTCATAGCGACCGCCGATACGAAAACTGCTGTGTGAGTTCGAAAAGTGAGTTACTGAATCGCAGGGCAGTTTCTCGTCTTATCTCACCCAATACTTGGACGGTGAGATATCATCGTATACGCTAAGTAAGAATCCGATTCTTAAAACCCAACAGATGTGAAGAAACAAATATACTGATCCAATCAAAATACAAACTATAATTGAATTTATTTCTACAATACACCGCTTATAAAACCGCTACGCCTCGGTAATTTTGAACAATAGAATAGTCGAGAAATATAAAACTGTCTTTTGTTTGCTTTCCCAGATCATATCAACCCGTATATTTGAAGCGAAACGTCTAAATAATTTCATTGGGAATATAATCTGTGACATCAAAAAGAATAATAAATGTACTATTTTTTTTAAATATAAAATAGGGGGGCAAACGAGCCTACGGTACGCCCATTTTTAGTGCTTTTAGAGTACACTCTAACTTTGAATAGTTGGAGGTCGTATCTCTCAGGGAAGGACCCCACCGGGAGTCGCTAGCACTGAGGAAGACTTCCAGCCATTAAGGTGATGTTGATAAAATTTTGCATGGATACGGCTCGTACGGTGCTGAAAAGAGGCAGAAGGGATCAACCCAAATAATTCTTCAGAACACTCACCATAGTACACTTTGTAGAAAACGCATAGAGCCGCAATGTCTCTGCGTAGAGGCATTAAGCTAATCAGTAATACAATAGATCGACAATTCGATAAGCCCTTCGCTGAATTTGGTCAAAAGGAAGAAACTGGTATTTGGCAGCACCAGCCACATGTACACTTAAGAACGTCAATTTAAAAAAAGATCTAAATTTACATTTACTAGCTGTTCCCAAATTAAGAGCGTAGAGTGGACAAGAACTGGAAACTGGATTGCGCTACTCTTTTTTGCGTGTTGTTCCCACGAAAATGTAAGTGCGTGCTCTTTCTTCACCATGCGTACTGCTGATAGAGGACAAATCTTTGTTTTTAATTTATTTTTAATTTTGTTAATTAATCATTAATTACTTAAGACGTCATGTGGAACATGGTGTAATGCTTCTCGTCCGTTCTATGAGAACTGGCACTAAATGTAAAATAAGAAGCATTAATATGTATTACTTTATTGACGTTCATAAGTGTGCATTGTGTTACCTAAATGAATAAATGATTTAATCACTTAGTTTTAGAAGGTCGTACCCATATCAAAAGAAGTTGAATTTGTATAATGTCGTCTTATTAGTTCAGCCCTTCGTACTTTCAAATCACTGTCACGAACCGTTTCATACATTAAGCGAAATAGTTTCAATTTCATGGAGTCTTCCGCTTCGGTCACCCCCTCCCGAAGGTAGGATACACCGACTCGCCTTTCGCGATAGTCCTACAAATATTAATTTATTTTAATTAAAATGGATAAACAAGGTTTTAGGGTATTATTTTATAGCTCAAACAAACGGCAGAGGGCTGATGTTAAGTGATACCGCCGTCCCTGGACACTCAACGCCAGAGGGCTCGCGAGTGCCTTGCCGGCCTTTTAAGAATTGGTACGCTCTTTTCTTGAAAAAAAAAAAGAAAAAAAAGTCGAATTGGTTCGGTAGCTGGTTCCACAAGTGGTGGTTTAAAAAATTGTCTTGATAATCGCTCAGTTGTGGAACGGCGGACGTCGAGGTGATACGGGGTATCGACAAATAAATCGCCTCTGCAGTTCTTTATTAAATAAATCAGTGGCGATACAACCTTTTTAGGTCTGGACCTCAGATTTCTGAATGTGTTTCATGATCATTTGTCTTATAGGCAAGTAGCCTCCTATGCCTGACACACGTCGTGCTTTGTGGGTCTAAGGCAAGCCAGTTTACTCACGATGTTTTCCTTCACCGTTCGAGTGAATGTTTATTTATTTATAACAGAAATCCATCTAATATATAAAATTCTCGTGTCACAATATTCGTTCCCACACTCCTCCGAAACGGGTCGACCGATTCTTATGAAATTGTTTATGCATATTCAGTAAGTCTGAGATACGGACAACATCTATTTTTCATTTTTTTATGATACAGCATACAAAAATACATACAACCCTTAATTGTAACCTCTCTACGATCAAACCTTATTTTTTGTTATAGTTGATACTTATTAATATTGGACTAAAAAAAATGTTTTGTAAAATAATATACGTGCATGGCAAAACGTTTGCCGGGTCCGCTAGTATATTATATAACAGACTATGCCAATAACAATAATGTCGAGAAAAATTAAATAAAGTATATAGTATTGCCATCACACAACACAGCCAAATTAGGCACCACTTAGTTAAATGTATTGAATAATTCTTATTGAGTTTGTTTCGTTTGTTAACTTTTTGAACCATTTTGAAGTTAAATGTATTCCATCTCTGGCTATATTTTCAGTGTAACTGTTTGTTATTATATATAATTTATGTTACTGTAGGATTACGAAATAAATAAATTAAAGAAGTTAATATATCGATGGTGTCTGGGATGTAAAATATAAAGTTTTTTTTAATGCAGGGAGTGTCGAATTCTTAAATGGGACATATCTTGAAGGGTTGGCGTTGTCGGAATTTTAAATGTGTACATAGAAATAAATAGTGCACAGCCGGGGATCGAACCTACGACCTCAGGGATAGACGTCGCACGCTGAAGCTACTAGGCCAACACTGCTCTTCAGGCACTTTTGACTTTATTAGGGTTTCTTTATTTTGTATCATAAATCGCCGCTGTAGTTCATATAAAATTGTATTAAATATACAATTAACATTTTGGTATGTAAACTAGTGTGAATGTTTTTTTGAACTATTACATAACAAGTATCACTTATGTAATAAGAAATAGAGTCTGAGTTATCCTCGACTGTGTTTTTGTCTATAGTGCATTTAACACTCGCAGGGTGAATAACATAGTGAGAAAACCGGTATGCCTTACGCAAAAAAGTCGACGGTGTCAGACACAAAACTACATCTACATCTAGAAATGTCTACACACACACACACACACACACGCATACAATCTACCTTTTAGAAATGTTCGCGGAATTGAGGCCCAGACCTAAAAGGTTGTAGCATCATTAGAATATTAAGAAATAAATAAAAGAAAGTACCTTTAGTAGTTTTGATTTAGTACCCCAAGATAAATCATTCATTATCTGTTTCTCTGGTTTTGCTATATTGAGGCCACTAGATGGCGCTAAAATATAAAGCATTTAATAAGTTTACATAAGTTAAAGTTATCTCATCTCAGTAAGCTTAATGATTAATTTTAAAGTTCTAAAATAACGTGTATGCATAAAACTATACAGGAAAATATGACATCACAAATTTTACACACATCAATTATGTTAGAACATAAGCAAGCTAGCAAGGGCAAAACAAGGAACTATTAAATAAAAAATAAGTATCTAAAAAAATATAATAATAATAAAAAAAAACGGAACCCAAGAACAAAAAAAGAAGAAGAGGGAGAGGAACCACCCAAAGGGCAGAAGGGGGGGGGGGAGGGGGAGAGGACGGGGGGGGGGGGGGGGGGGGAGGGGGGGGGGGGGGGGGGGGGGGGGGGGGGGGGGGGGGGGGGGGGGGGGGGGGGGGGGGGGGGGGGGGGGGGGGGGGGGGGGGGGGGGGGGGGGGGGGGGGGGGGGGGGGGGGGGGGGGGGGGGGGGGGGGGGGGGGGGGGGGGGGGGGGGGGGGGGGGGGGGGGGGGGGGGGGGGGGGGGGGGGGGGGGGGGGGGGGGGGGGGGGGGGGGGGGGGGGGGGGGGGGGGGGGGGGGGGGGGGGGGGGGGGGGGGGGGGGGGGGGGGGGGGGGGGGGGGGGGGGGGGGGGGGGGGGGGGGGGGGGGGGGGGGGGGGGGGGGGGGGGGGGGGGGGGGGGGGGGGGGGGGGGGGGGGGGGGGGGGGGGGGGGGGGGGGGGGGGGGGGGGGGGGGGGGGGGGGGGGGGGGGGGGGGGGGGGGGGGGGGGGGGGGGGGGGGGGGGGGGGGGGGGGGGGGGGGGGGGGGGGGGGGGGGGGGGGGGGGGGGGGGGGGGGGGGGGGGGGGGGGGGGGGGGGGGGGGGGGGGGGGGGGGGGGGGGGGGGGGGGGGGGGGGGGGGGGGGGGGGGGGGGGGGGGGGGGGGGGGGGGGGGGGGGGGGGGGGGGGGGGGGGGGGGGGGGGGGGGGGGGGGGGGGGGGGGGGGGGGGGGGGGGGGGGGGGGGGGGGGGGGGGGGGGGGGGGGGGGGGGGGGGGGGGGGGGGGGGGGGGGGGGCGGGGGGGGGGGGGGGGGGGGGGGGGGGGGGGGGGGGGGGGGGGGGGGGGGGGGGGGGGGGGGGGGG